TGGCCCATTCTTCTTTTAACCCTCTACGTCCTGTTGCAGTAAGGCAAAAGGGAAATAAACAACCTGAAGTGGAATTCTGTCTGGATCTGAAGGAAAATCACACTCTGGTGTAATGAAACTGTGTAACAATGTGTGCATTAAAGTCACATCTTGACATGTAATGAAATGTGTTGCTTTTGGCATTTAATGCTTGCATATCCTTGTAGGAATGCATATCACTCACTGCCTTTAAAGCCAGGCTTTTCCACTAATGTCATTTTGAGTTGAGAAATAAGGACTATTGAGAAAAAGCGTGCATGATGAGTTCTGAAAGACTCTTATGGGGCTAGTCTACTCTACCAAGACTGCAGGGAGTGTTCACATCCGCATAGCCTGGATTTTTTCCAGGTTTCAGTCCTCTTCCCGAGGTGGTCTGTTTCAGGCTGAACTGGTCCAACACACCCACTGCTGACTGATTGGCTGGCTCAAATTCACACCTACCATTAGGGAGAGCCTCCAAATGGCGGATATAATCAATCAGCGGGACCTTGTGCGATTCATAGTCATTGTGGATACTGTGGACCAAACAACGCCTCTGACTGAAGCTGCTTCACTGAGCACACACTAGGGGTTGTATGAACTAGTCGACTAGTCAACTTCACTGCTCTGTAGTGACTTTTTATGCCTGTCATCAACTAGTCGCTGTCACATGATAATGACCGACAAGATGCAGTCCTCGGAAAAGACAGCAGGTGACGAGCTCCTGCGCGTCGGGAGGCAACGCGCTGTGCCAGAGCGTCGGTACTGACACCCGCCGTAAAATTGACATTTAACCAAATTGTGACCTTTACCCTCTTGCAATTTAACTTTCCCCTAACCCCCATCCTAACCTTAACCAGATTGCACATGCAAAGCTCTGATTGTTGACGCGCTCCAGACATCTGCGTCCTGAGCATGGCCACAGTAACATTATCAAATCAGGTGTCACCACCTCAAAAACTAATTTAACACGCGATCGTTCATGTCGGCTCATTTCCTCTTATGTTTCTGTCTTTTATTTGTGCCTGATGCATTTCACTGCTGTGGGGCGGGGCGCATCACCTGTTTTGTCCTCCAGTGACACATCTCACTGATGCAGCCGGCAAGCAGTGCGCACTCCGCTGTTTCTGCGGTCGGTAGATATTTTAGAACTGCAGTTCAAAGGTAGCTCGTAAGGTGAATATATATGAACCCAGGCAGCAGTTTTTCTTTAGGATTGAGATGAGATGCAGGAAAGTAATAAACAGAAACAGGACAGAAAAATAGTCAAATAAAAACAAGTTAGTTTGTGTACCTGGTGGTTGCAACAAACAGACACCATTGAAGGTAATCAGAAGTGAGGAACAGAAAATAAAATAATTATTTTAATGTTTAGAGCAGCAGGAACTCTGAGAGGCTGCAGGCGCATCAGTGAGTTTGCGGCCGCTGCGCAGGGGGAGGGGGCTGAAGCGGAGCAGTAAAGATGCAGAAACTACCGTTGTTAAAAGAGATGCGTTTAACTTTGAAAATGTGGGCGCAATCTTAATTGTCAAAAACTCCAGCGAACCAACCGACCCCCCCCCCCCATACCCCCACGACCCCCACCGCTTCAGGTGGATGACGTCATCAACGACTATTCAAAGTCGACTCGATTTTCATTACTTGACTGTCGTCTTTAAAAAAAAATTAAGTCATGCAGGCAGCCCCTAGCACACACACACACACACACACACACACACACACACACACACACACACACACACACACACACACACACACACACACACACACACACACACAGAAACAGCGTTGCCAGGCTTGAGCTGCACCAGGACCGACACAGCAGGGCAGGATGTCTCCAAAAGCAACACTGCGCTGCCGCCTTTGTTTAATTTAAGGAAGACACCACAGACATTTTCGCACTTTCGCAATTTCTTTTGTCCTGCCCACATGCTGTGAGATGCACTCATGTCATCACCGATATCTTTGTGCCAATTTTTCACTCAAATTTTGGAGACCATGTGCTAAGTCACGTCCACATTCTTACGGATGTGTGTAATCAACTTGGCCAGGCTGGGGCTGACTGTGCAGAGTGGAGCCAGCTCTAGTGTGGAAGGGACTTAAGAAACAGGCCGTAACAAAACAAAGATGTGTTTTTACTGTTTGGCCTGTCATCCACACAAAAGTAAAGATAAACTGCACCCAAAACACAATATTCAGCCTTTACTTTAATTGATGTAAATAACCTGGGTTTTAGGCTTTGCGACATCATAGCCTGTAATAAAAATGCCCTGATGTCACATGCATGTTTTGTTTTGAGGGGGTTAGAAAGCAGGCAGTAGTATAACTTCATCCAGACGAACATTATTATAGGAGTTCATGTACATCCAGCCATTATCCAGCCGAACTTCTCAGCAACTCCCCAAACTTTCTACAGCACCTCTCTCTCTCTCTATATATATCAGCAGTACTCTGCTGCCACCTAGTGTCAGAACACAACAATGTACGACCTGCATTTACACTTTCTGTTTTTACAAGCTCAATTATTGCTCTACATAGAAGACCAAAGGTGAAGGATGATGTTAAGGTCGGTTATTGCCCGCCACCTAGCTATTCCCCATCCAAGGACTGTTTTCGGGAAAGATGCCAAATGATGTGGGGAACTGCTGCCACCTAGAGGCTCATCTATGAATGTGCTTCACAATGCACTGTATTTATTTATTTTTACTGAAAATAAGGTGGTGTGGACTCAAGTTTCTTTACCCAGATGGGAGGTTTAACAAAAACCCAGCTATGTGTGTACATGGCCTTAGCTTCTACCACATAGAACATGACCTCAATGTCTGCAAATCTGACTTAGTTAAAGCCATCGTTGGTCATCTTAAGGTCTATAATGGCCATTTTCAATTGGGTTGACTTTATTTGTAGATGTACATCAAATAATTGCCTCTGTAGAGTCTGTTTATTTTGCTACACTGCAGACAAACACAAAAGTAACAACTTTAGACGCTCATCCGAAGACACAGAACCCCCATCCCCACAAATAACTCACTACTCCAATAAAGCTGTGGTATTTGTTGTGGCCACAGAAACTCGATAGTGTTCATTCAGTGCTGGTGCCTTGAACCCACAGGGCAGGTGGTAGCAGATCACAGACTTCTCAGTGACTCAAGGGGCTAAACTAATCATACACGAATCTCTCACACGGCCCAAACCGGTGGCCTTTCTCCAAATCTACACCAGCTTGTCATCCAGCTTCCTTTTTTCATACATCTTTATCCCAGAGCTTTATTCAACGTATAGGGCAAAAATGATAAAAAAAAATAAAAAAGTAATTAATTTACAAACTGTGATAAAACGGGTTAATTACCTAAGATTTCTGCCTCAACATCTCTGAATGATCACACATTCTCTCATAATACCACACTTATCAACTCACTTCCTCATAACTCAAGGCAATTTCATATCTAATGTTCTAGACATTGAAAAATGTCCTGTAATTAAATTCTTCTAATGACATGATTCAATATTGTATTTTCCACATTTTTTAATTAAGCTTGGCTTCATAGAAAAAATAACCAATCCTTTTGGTGTTAATGTCTTCAGAAAATCATCTTCATACATAAAAAAATAAAAAAAGCCAAAGACTAAAAAGTAAGGCTGATAAACACTGCCCCCTACTGACTCTAAACCATTCCTACAGCTGTCACCTGACATTAAAAGGTGCACATGCTACAGATTTGGATTTTAAATATGTCAAACACTTGTTTACTTCTTTTTGTGTCTTTTGTTTCAGTTTAAGATGAAAACAAAATCATAAATGTAGTCCATGACTCTAAAGTTTAATTACGGTAAGCTCTTAAGTCAACAATTCAAAAGAAAATCCAGTGACCTTCAAAGTAAAAGCTCCCATGCACCACAGGAATAGCTTCAAAAGTGATTTAAATGCACTAAGAAATAAAAAAAGTGAATCAAGCATGTTGAATAGACTTGAACTACTTTTCGGCTTCTGACCAAGTCCTCCAAACACACCCACATCACCCCGCTTCTCCTCCAGCTTCACTGGCTGCCAGTCAACTTCAGGGTTCATTTCAAGATCCTGGTTCTGGTCTATAGGGCCTTACATGGACAAGCACCATCTTACATTGGTGATCTTCTTAGTCCCTACACCCCCAGCAGGTCCCTGAGGTCCAGTGATCAAAGCCTACTGGTTGTGCAGCACCAGGCTAAAGACCAAAGGTGACAGATCATTTGCTGCTGTGGCCCCCAGACTCTGGAACTCTCTCCCCCTGAGCCTGAGATCAGTGGACTCAGTGGTCTCCTTCAAAAAGCAGCTGAAGACTCACCTGTTCAAGCTGGCTTTTGTATGACCTTCTTCACCACTCTCTCTTTATTCTGCTCTCCCCACCTATTCCACCTTCCTCAGGATCCACTGATTTCCCTCTTTACTGTTCACTCTCTCTCTTTCTTTAAATTTTTAATCACAATTGTCAATTTTTTTGCTCATTTAAAATATAGTTTTAAACATTTTCTAATTTCTTTTTTATATTTTTACATTTTTTGTTTTTGTAAAGCGCCTCGTGCTTGAGAGGTGCTATAGAAATGATCTTTTCTTCTTCTTCTCCTTTTAGTTCAAAGGTTGCCAAAACATTGTAAGAAATATGGCTGAACCCAAACTTAATTATTTACCTCAATTTATTAAAAAGTACAAATCCTAACAAATTCAGCACAAGATATTTTAACACATTTACTTCTTTTTTTTTATTTTATTATCTGCTTTTATTCAAACTACTAAATCTAAAGTAAAACGTTATTTAGTAGTTTTAAAATCAGCAGTTAAAATCATGCAGAACTTATAAAATTCAACATCGCAAATATTAATGGGAGTGTTTTTGTATGAAATCACAAAACAAGAGATCCACATAATAGTTGACTCAAAATGTATTTTCTTAAAAACCAATATAGTACAGCTTTTGCACAGAAAACTCAAACAGATCAAATGATTAACATTTGCATGCTTTATTATGTTTCAGTGCAACTAAAAACAAAATATTACAACGACAGTTAGAAACACTTTCAAAACCTTATTTTTTAAGCATAAGGCTTAAAATCTCTTAAGTCTGATGTAATGTTCTAAAATTTAATGGTAAAACTCATATAATAGAAGAATACACGTGGATCTCTATAGGTATGTTAGAATAGATAATAAAACATGTATTTGTATAAAAAACAGATAAAAAATAAACAAGCAGGACTGAAGAGATGCTTAGAAAATCAAATACAACTTTAGTTCTCAGAGTCTCTGAACAGAAACGGTAAACCGTGACTAGCTGCTGCTTTATTGGCTGTTTTTCATATTAATACTTTAAATCCTACCTGTTTTCTGAGAAAGGAGAAAGGCCAGCGACTGATGAACCACCCATGTTTTCAGAAGACTTTTATCTCAGACTGAAGCTCCTCCTCATTCTTTAGAACTTTACCTTGAACTTATGTCGTCTGTCATCTGCTCTCTTCTTAGCTTTTCTCTCGTGTTCATTTGTATGAAGGCCTATTCAGGAGTTTCACTTTTCTTCTTCTCTCTAAAGCTTTCATTACATGGTTTGTCTCCTGGACGAACTCTCGTTAACAGTTTTATCTATTTTTTCTGTGCTCCGCTACCCTCTGAGTTTAGTCTGATCTCACCGTTGAGATCTGGGTCTTTCTTTTCAACATCAGGCGGCTTTAGTGAAGTTTCTGTGTTACTGTTGACTGATTCTGATACTGAGGAGCTCCGAGTCACTACAGCGGTGTCAGGAGGATGATCCAGTTCTCTATGGCCATCTGGTGTTTCTGCTTCAAGAGCCTGGTTGCCTCCTTGTAAGGCCTCCTGTGCTGGGTTAGTTGTGGTGAGAGGGGGCTGTGGCACATCTCCAGCAGCCTGATCAGAGCTGGTTTCTCCTTTTGTACCTGGAGGCGTTTCTGATCCCAAATGTGAGCATGGTTTCGCTTCAGGTTTTTGTGATGGGGCATCATCTTCAGATGTTGCCACATTCTCCTTCTCACCAGGATCTAAAACAGAAAGCAAAACATCTTAAACTCATCATCCAGGAAGCTGCAAAAATGATGAAAATTTCTGTCTTAAAATAAATCCCAACTGCATGGAGGTTTAGGAGTGAGCAAACACCAAAAAAAATTATATATATATAAAAAAAACTCCTTTCCAAACAAAGCAACAGAGTGCATTAAAGTTAATCTCATTAAGATTTCCTTCCTGGTTGTGACGTGTGTTTGAGTAAATATAGTTTAACTTGTCAAAACTGAGAAATGCTGACCATTCCTGCTGCTGCCGGTTCAGTGCTTTTCGTTTCTGATAAGGGAAATAAAAAATGTCATGAATAAATAAAAGAAACTGCTGATGCAGAGCCAGCTGCACAATGTGTCATTTACTATTATTAGAGGCACATAATCTAATCTGAGTCTTTCTGGGATTCTGGACAAAATAGCTACGCATCAGTTCTACAATGTATTCTCTATTGTTATTGCCTTCCATTTGTATAAAGTGATGAGTGTTAAAGAATACGTGTTTTATTGTGCAAAGAAGCAAAATCAGAAGAACACATGTGACTAAAACAACAATAAACCAGGTAAACAAGCAGAGTGAACAACATAAAATAACACAGAAGAGAGGAGGCCTTGTGCAAAGTCCACAAGTTGAGATGTGCAACATGTCAGAACAGCTGAGAAGAATCAGATCAAACTGGAGAGGAACAACAAGTTCTGGTTTGGATCCAGATCATTTTCTGATATTTGATTTAACTTATCTAAACCTTTAAAGACAGAAAGAATAAATAAATAAATACAAATAAACATCCACAGATTTACAGGCGGCTCTAACAGGCTCCTTTACAACACTGGAAAACACAATCAGTGATCTAGTAACGGTCAAAGCTCCACCCAAACAGATCCTCAGAGGTACCAAGTTCAACACAATAGCATAAACTATAAAGATAAGAGAATACTACACTAACTAAAAATACACAGCTTGCTTCAAAAAGCCACAAAAGAAAAGCTGGTTTAGTCTAAATAGAAAAGAAGGTACATACGCACATAAAGTAAATATATGGAAATGTACACTTATTTTAAATTAAAAAGGGTTATTAACACAGAAAAATAGAACACCAATAAATAGTTAAAAAAAGATTTTAAACAAAGTTTGAGCTCATCTTAACTCACTAGTACCACCTGTCCCAGATTCTGCAGGATCATCTCCAGTTTCTCCGGGCTTGTCTTCAGCAGCTTGTGTATTTGTTGGGAAATCACGAGTCTGAAGAGGGTTTTCAGGTGCAGAGGAACGAGATGAATCTATCCCCATGTCCTCTGAACAGGGACAAAGAGAAGAAAAGGAAAACGTTATGAAATGAAGCCATACCCACAGTGTTGCATTGCCTGGGGATGCAGTTGCTCTGATGTGTGCCATATTTTTTTATGGAAGTGGGGCCCTGGGGTTGCAGGCAGTTAGCATAACTGGGTCTGGGGCAGGAGGACAATGTGGGCAGAGGGCCTGCAGTTGACACTGGCAGCATCATTGCCAGGGTGGGGGTGACAAGCCACCCAGCTGCCACCCTCCTGCAATGGGGTGGGTGGCTGCCCTGTCATGCTCGGGAACCTTCTCTGGAGATCTGGTGATGTAGGGGTGTGCCCAAGGGTAACAGGGCAGCCTTGCCCGTTGCTGGACTGTGTTGGGGCAGTGATGCTGTGTTCTGGTCTGGGGGATCCTGGCTTGGCATTCCTCATTGGGTTCCCTCTGGTTGGAGGCTGGTGTCCCTTTATTCTCCAGCTAAACCCCTTTCCCCTGGGCTAGCAGGTTGATGTCAATCATCTGGGAGCTACTGGCTAACTGGACATTTTTGAGTCCCCTCACTCCTGCATTAGTGGGGTCTAGATTGTGGCGGAGTAGACTTCTGAGGCACAGGAGGAGGAGATATTGACTTACTCTTGGCTCCATTCTCCTCTAAACCTGAAACACAAGAAAGAAAAGGTCTGTAAAATAAACCCATGCTATCTGTGTTTTTCAGACACTGAATTTAGAAGATTTATTTGATTATAGAAAAGGGGTTTGAGAACACCTATTTTAAATAAGCAGATCATCTTAACTCACCAGGATCACTTGTCTTAGAGACTGCAGGATCAGGCTGTGGACCTTTGTTCTCCCCAGTTTCTCCAGGCTCGTCTTCATCAGCTTCTTTCTTTGTTGGATGAGTGTGAGAAGACTTTCCAGATGGAGCGGAAAGAGATGAATCAATCATTTTCTTATCTGAATCTAAAATATAGGGGGAAAAAATTTCAGCAGGTCCCTGAGGTCCAGTGATCAAAGTCTACTTGTGCAGCGCACCAGGCTAAAGACCAAATAACAGATCACTTGCTGCTGTGGCCCCCAGAATCTGGAGCTCTCTCTCCTTGAGCCTGCAGTGGACTCAGTGGTCTCCTTTAAAAAGCAGCTGAAAAACTCACCTGTTCAGGCTGGCTTCTGTGTGACCTTCAATTCATCCTCTTCTTCCTCACTAGCTTCTTCTCATGCTGCCGTTTCTACCAATTCTGTCTTCTTTAGGATCCTGTGTTGATGCTTTTCTTATTCGTACTTTTTCACATATTTAATCTTAACTCGTTCCTTTTTTTCTCTTATTTTCTACTGTGGTCTTTAAAATAAATATAATATAATAATAATAATTATTATATATATATATATATATATATATATATATATATATATATATATATATATATATATATGTGTGTGTGTGTGTATATATATATATATATATATATATATATATATATATATATATATATATATATATATATATATATATATATATTATTCTTGTAAAGCACTTTGTGATTTTTATTGTGACAGGTGCTATATAAAAATTGTTTAATCGACTTCTCTAAACATTGCCAATAAGCAATTCTTAAGAATGGGATTAAAAAGCAGAATTTAAGAATCAGTCGGTTTAACGGTATTCTGATGAATCACGTCTCCATGGAGATGATGGCTGCCGATAGGAAAAATTAACTCAAAGAGCAATTCAACCCTTACAAGAAACTTACTCGACCCACACTTCATGCCAGGCAACAAATGCTGCTGCCTGGCAGACCGAGAGGGCGAAGCCACTAACAAATACACACTAACAGGATCACAATAGCATTGTGACATCATAATGCACCAGCTAAATTTCAAATGGCCTGCTTTTGATATAGCACCTTCTAGAGTCCTGGAACTCCCCAAGGCTCTTTACAACACAATCAGTCATTCACCCATTCACACACACATTCACTCCCTGGTGGATGAGCTGCACTGTAGGCAAAGCTGCCCTGGGGCGCAACGACACAGGCCAGGTTTCCAAACACTGGAGCCACCGGTCCCTCAGACAACCACCAGCAGGCAAGGGGGGGTTAAGTGTCTTGCCCAAGGACACAACGGCAGCGACAGACTGAACTCACCATTATCACTTGTCTTAGAGTGTGCAGGATCAGGCTCTGGATCTTTGTTCCCAGTTTCTCCAGACTTGTTTTCATCAGCTTGTTCATTTGTTGGGAGGTCATGACATTTTCCAGATGAAGAGGAAGCAGATGATTCGATCCTCCTCTCTTCTGAACCTAAAATACAGGTAAAAAAAATTCTATAATTTTGTTGAAAATAACTTGAGACGTTCTATTTTTCTTACCAGACTGATAACCGTGCACTTGAGTCAACATTTCCTGATCTTATCATCAAAACAAACAATTGCTTTTGTTAGTAAAACTAATACATTTTACTCGCCCCATGGTGGTGGTGGTGCTCACAGTTGCGGCAGCTCGAGGATCCCAGTTCCTAATTATATTTATTCATGCTTATTGTGATTTTATCCAGAAAATGTACATTCGCATCTTTTTTAATGTGTTTTATCATATTTTATCATGTTTTCCTACCCATTTATGCTTTAATCGTTTGTGGTACAAGGTGGCTTGGTTGAAAAATCCTGAATTCTGTAGTACTTTTGTGTACAAATGACAATAAAAGACGGTCTCTTCTATTGTAATTGGAGCTTGTTATTCAAAGTATATTCCATTTGGGTTTGAGACAGATGGATTCACTCTGCCTACTTAGTTACGTCACAAACATTAATATGAAAGTGAGGAAATCTCTCACGCTTACACTCCTGTAACTCGTTTTTCACGTGTCTGAGCAGAACCTCCCTGAACTGTCTACAGGTGGTTCAGAATGCCTGTGCTCGGCTTCTGACCAAATCACCCCGCTTCTTCTCAAACTTCACTGGCTGCTAGTTAACTGGTTAAGGAAACATCAACTTAAAGAATATGAATGTTTGTGGCCATAATTGTTGGTCAAATAACTTAAAACAGCACATGTCTCTTTTTTTCTCTGCTTGTCCCCTTTAAGTCTGCTTGACCCTCCAGGAAGATGTGATTCTACTCATTTTGTCACAACCAGGTAAAGTAACATCAGCCTCTGCAGATGCTGCGGGTTCAGAGGCTTTTCCCTCCACAGCCGCAGAGGGCGTCACTCCATTTTCTTTTGCTGTGAGTCTTATAGAAAGTTCCCTAACAAGCTCTGACATTTCAGGCACAGGAGGAGCTATTGACTTTCTCTTGTCCTCTAGACCTGCAGCTAAAGAGAAAAAGTGATGAAATTAAAAAAAAAATGAGGATTTTAATTATAAAATGCAAATGTAGATTTAATGCCTTGTTTAAAAAAATTCAACATTTGTTAGATATAACCCATAATGTGAAAACAAGTGGAAGCTTGAGATAAACAGTGTTTGGGGAAACAAATCACAACAAACGACTTTAAACTTGATTATCAAATCTGTATGAAAAGGAGCAGCATCAGCATGTGAAGGAAAGTTGGTTGTTGCCTGAACATGTCCACACTGGTTTTGTGGGATCTCTTACAGTATGAACTGTCAGCTTTATGTTTTTGATTAAAATAGCAAACCAGGTAGAAACCTTCACTCCCAGCAGAAACTAAAGAGGATCCAGGACAAAAAACATGCAGTTACAAACACCTATTTATCCAAAAGGGTGGATGTTTTGTAACTTATCCGTTTAGAAGTAATTAAAGCTTGAAATTATGAATACTTAGGGGGTGTGTCCTTTTATTGACAGGTAGCAGATGAGCCATCAGAGCTTACTAGCACTAGCAGCTTTCCCTCCCCAGTGTTACCCCTACAGACACGCAGGCGTGGAACTGTGCCACGGCTACAAAATCCCTGCCCTGGGGCACACTGGTAGAGCCCAGGCTGCCAAACACTGGCACCACCAGTCCCTCAGACCACCACCAGCCGGCAAGGGGGGTTAAGTGTCTTGCCCAAGGACACAACGGCAGCAACAGACTGAACTCACCATAATCACTTGTCTCAGAGTGTGCAGGATCAGGCTCTGGATCTTTGTTCCCAGTTTCTCCAGACTTGTTTTCATCACCTTGTTCATTAGTTGGGAGGTCATGACATTTTCCAGATGAAGAGGAAGCAGATGATTCGATCCTCCTCTCTTCTGAACCTAAAATACAGGTAAATGAAATTTCTATAAATTTGATGAAAATAACTAAATAACAAAATCCTAACCTCCCCATGGACAACGCATCGTAGCAACTTGTCCGCGCGCACCCCACCTCCACCGCTCTTGCGGACAATGCAACGAAGCAAACGATACCACCCGCTCTCACAACTTGCACCAAGGCTGTAAATATTTCTAGGGGAAACACTGCCTCCTGCTTATTCCAGGGAAGGCCTCAGCCTCAATCTCACGTTGAAAGCGTTACAGCCTAGAAGGCTGGGAGTAGCGGAGTCATTCAACCGCAGTTTTCTGGCAAAAAATGTTTTGTAACTACATCGTCTCAGAGTTTGTTCGGTTTGAATTATCTGCTGCCACATATATAGTCCCACTTTCAGCTCCATTTTTAGTTTTTTTGGCAGTGAAGAGACGCACAACTCGACAAAGATGGTGGTGGTGGGGACCACCCATTGGGCTTTAATTCAGCTCTTCAGAAATCTACGAGTGACAGCACAGAGGGTTTAGTCATTACTTATACACAGTCATTGACTGAACCTCAATATTTCCACCTGCAAGAACCTCAAATACCTCAGATGAAGACGAGATTAGCCAGTCTGAAGCAGATTTACATCTATACACCTGAACAAAAACAGTGTTGCACCCAGACTGGTCAAACAAGCATTTTCAGATGAATTCTTTCTTCAGCTCAGAGTTTCTGTTAGAAATGGCCTCAGGCATTCATTTAACAACAACAGCAGCCTGTAACGGGTCGTAAATGAAGTATGCCCAAGGTGGCTGTTTTTTATTTATTTTTTTATGAGAACGTGAGGGATCACTTTATGCTTCGACACAGAAAAGCATAGAGAATCGTTTCCCCTTTTTATAGTCTGGAGAGTGCATTTAATCCTGCTTTACTCACTTTGTTCTGCAATCACAGAATCTGTAGGGCTGTACACTGAAGCATTTTTTTCCTACAGCTTCCCTGTGCTCATCTTCATCAGCTTCTGCTTTATTTGATGTAAGATCCTGAGATCGGGGAGGCTTTTCAGGCACAGACTGTAACTGTGGAGTTCTCTGGTCTAATCCTAACCCTAACCCCACCCCCCACCCTCACCCAAAAAAAGAATCACTGTAAAACAGACAATCTGTGATAAAATCTAACTATTTTGTATTTTTAAAAGGAAAGACTGCTTCCAGATTTACATCAGAGCAGGTGTCTCCAACACAATGCTTGCAAGCTACCGGTAGCTCACGGTACACGTGAAAGTCGCTCGCCTGGAAGCAGTCAGCGAGCCATTCTGTCTAATTTCAAAAATGTAATTAACGAGTGACGGCTTTCAAATATAATGGAAAGCCGTCCCAGTTTCCTGTAATATCTAACCTAAAATTTGCTTGTTGTGGAAGTAAAATAAAAATCTAATTAATGTACAATTCTTCCAGCAAACGCGTACTACTGTAAATACAGGGATTAATTGCTTGGGTTGCAGCATGGATTATAATAATAACAATAATACATTTTATTTAGCAGCGCCTTTCGGGACACCCAAGGACACTTTACAACAATGGGGAGAAATAAATAAATAAATAAATAAAACAAGATAAACACAGTACAGAAATATATAATAATACTAAGATGCTAAAATTAAACAAAAACTATGTGTTTAAAACTATGTGGTAAAAGCTTGTGTGAAGAGGTGGGTTTTGAGTTTTGATTTAAAAAGTGGGAGAGAGAGACACAGTGGTGCGTAGATCGGGGGAAGAGAATTCTAGAGGTGGGGAGCAGAGCGGCTGAATGCTCTACTCCCCAAAGTGACAAGGCGAGCAGGGGGAGCCGAGAGTTGAGGAGCAGAAGAGGAACGAACAGCACGGACAGGAGTGATGATGTGAATGAGATCGGATATGTAGGATGGAGCCAGGTTATGGAGAGCTTTGAATGTGATAAGCAGAATTTTGAAGCTGATTGTTTGTTTAATGGGCAGCCAATTAAGTTGTTGCAGGATGGGGGTGATGTGATGAGATGATGAGAGTCCTGGTGATGACATGTGCTGCAGCATTCTGGAGAAGCTGCAGTTTGTGGAGGGATTTGCTGGGGTGACCAAAGAGAAGTGAGTTGAAATAATCAATCCTGGATGTGACGAGGCTGTGAACAAGGATGGCTGTGGTGTGAGAAGTAAGTGATGGATGGAGACAGGAAATGTTACGCAAGTGAAAATAAGCAGACCGGGTAATATTGTTGATGTGAGATTGAAAAGGAAGTGTGATGTCGAGGATGACACCCTGACTCTTAACATGAGGAGAGGGAGTAACTGCTGAGTTATCAAGAGAGATGGGAAAACTGTTAGATTTGGAGAGAGTATGAGGTGTGTCTACTAGGAGGACGTCAGTTTTAGAACTGTTCTGTTTGAGGAGGTTGGAAGTGAACCAAGAATTGATTTCCTGGAGACAGAGGGTAAGTGAGGAAGGTGGGAGAAAAGTTGAGGGTTTGGTTGAGAGGTAGAGCTGGGTGTCATCTGCGTAACAATGAAAATGAATGTTGTATTTACGGAAAATGTGACCTAGCGGGAGAAGGTAAATGATTAAAAGAAGGGGCCCCAAGACAGAGCCCTGGGGCACACCAGCAGAAACAGGAAAGAGATTGGATTTATGACTTCACTTGAACGAATTGTGTATGACAGCAGAGGTAGGAGGTGAAGCAGGCAAGAGGAATGTGAGTGATACCTATAGATGACAGTCTGCTGAGGACAGGACTATGAAAGACGGTGTCAAATGCAGCTGTGAGATCGAGAAGGATGAGAATGGACAATAAACCAGAGTCAGAAGCAGTGAGACGTTACGGATGTTTCTGTCAACTTTGAATGCAGCCGCAGTTGCTTGGTTTGGGTTTAAGAGTCTATTTCCCTTAAAAAATTTTTTTTTTACAGTACTGATGTATTGAAATACAGAGAAAGCAACTTGTGAACACAATGCATGTTTATACAGTAAGCATAGCATTTTTAACAAAATAAGCACATTCACACATGGAAAGTAACGTGAATAAATCATAAGGCGTTAGCTTTTCTGTACTTTCTTTGAGTGAAAAGTAGCTCCTGCATTAGAGAAACTGTTACTGAACAATCTTAATATAATTCTAAAACATAGATTGTTCTTACCGTTTACACTTTTTTGGTATAATTTTTTATTTTCTGAACTTAAATCTTTAATTAATTATTAATTATTTGCTCAAAAGTAAAAAATATATATCTTTATTTATTATTTTGTCTTTTTGCATCAAAACTCTCACCTGTAGCTCCTAAATATTTTTAGACCAACAATGTCAAACTGGGAGTGATTTACCATTGTGAGTGGACTTTTGGTTTAAATGACGAAGAGGCTGGTGTGACAGCATCGTGGGAGCTCGGTCTATGAGACCCTGTTTTTCCTCATGATCTTCATTGCTTTCTACAGTTGAATGAAGATAAGACTGAGATCTTCATCTGTGCCTCAGACAAGCTGGTTCCCAAAGTCAGAAACTTTCATGGTCAGCTTTCTTCTCACACTAAACCCTCTGTTAGGAATCTTGGTGTGACCTTTGACCCAGCTCCCACCCTGGATTCTCATGTCAGTTCTCTTGTTTGTGCTTCCTCCTGTAACTCATTTTTCACGTGTCTGAGCAATACCTCCCTGAACCGTCTACAGGTGGTTCAGAATGCCTGTGCTCGGCTTCTGACCAAATCATCCCGCTTCTCCTCAAACTTCACTGGCTGCTAGTTAACTGGTTAAGGAAAAAATCAACTTAAAGAATATGAATGTTTGTGGCCATAATTGTTGGTCAAATAACTTAAAACAGCACATGTCTCTTTTTTTCTCTGCTTGTCCCCTTTAAGTCTGCTTGACCCTCCAGGAAGATGTGATTCTACTCACTTTGTTTGTCACAACCAGGTAAGGTAACATCAGCCTCTGCAGATGCTGCGGGTTCAGGGGCATTTCTCTCCACAGCCGCTGAGGGCGTCACTCCATTTTCTTTTGCTGTGAGTCTTATAGAAAGTTCCCCAACAAGCCCTGACGTTTCAGGCACAGGAGGAGCTGTTGACTTTCTCTTGTCCTCTAGATGTCCTGGGGTATGCTTTTTGGAGTTCGATGGAGTTCTCAGGTCTTGTATGGTTTTCTCTGAGTCTGAAAAACAAAAGAAAGACAAAATAAACAACTGTAAAACTCTGTGGTTGTTTAAATAGCTAAAGGAAATTAAAATGATTAAATAAAACAATTAAATAATTTTAAATGAAAGATTGCTTCTGGGTTTGCTGTTACGGAGCAATCTTAATATTCCTCTAAAACATGCATTTTTATTATCATTTAAACAGTTTTGGTCTTAAATATTTAAGCCTTTACGCTGAAATTTTTGTTTAAAAAAATAAATATCACTTTTTGTCTTTTTCCATCAAAACTAGATTGCACAATTGCCATAGCTCATAAACGTTTTTTTTTTTAAGCCAACAATATCAAACTGGGAGTGATTTACCATTGTGAGTGGGCTTTTGGTTTAAATGACAAAGAGACTGGTGTGACGGCATCGTGGGAGCTCGGTCTATGAGACCCTGTTTTTCCTCACGATCTTCATCTGAACCTGAAAAACCATCCGATATGACACATAAAAATTATTTAACAACTAAAAAAAAAGATGATTTCTAAGGGACAAAATCATTTAAGTCCACATTAAACAGTCACAATATGAGTTAACTGGTAAAGCAATGGAGACCAAGTATCTTACCAGCTGCTGTGTCCTGATCTGACTGGTTTTCCACATCCCTTTTCGTCATACATTCACATTTTCCTAAAATTGAAAATCAGGAAAACAACAAAATAATTTAACTTCGTATGGTTTGAAGCTGGAGTCTAATTATAAAGCATAAAAGCTTTTAATACACCTCTGAATATTAATACTAAAATATTTTTTATCATTAAACTTGAACGACTAAGAAGAAATAAGGGACATTTTGTTAATTGAGTAAATGGTTAACTGGAGCCTCCTCCTTGAACCGTCACCTTATCGTGGTGGAGGAGTTTGAGTGCCCTAATGATCCTAGGAGCTATGTTGTCTGGGGCACTTAGTGCCCCTGGTAGGGTCTCCCATGACAAATTGGTCTTAGGTGAAGGGTGAGACAAAGAACGGTTCGAAGGATCTTTCATGGCGGTTAAAACGAAGAGTCGGAGTACCCGGCCCGGAGGGTTACCGGGGTCCCACCCTGGAGCCAGGCCTGGGGTTGGGGCCCGTGAGCGAGCGCCTGGTGGCCGGGCTTTCGCCCATGGGGCCCGGCCGGGCCCAGCCCGAACCGGATACATGGGCTCGTCCAACTGTGGACCCACCACCCGCAGGAGGAACATGAAGGGTCCGGTGCAATGCGAATCGGGTGGCAGACCAAGGCGGTAGCCTTGGCGGTCCAATCCCCGGACAAGAAAACTAGTTTTTGGGACATGGAACGTCACCTCGCTGGCGGGGAAGGAGCCGGAGCTTGTGGCAGAGGGTGAGCGGTACCGGCTAGATATAGTCGGACTCACCTCGACACATTGCATTGGCTCTGGAACCCGAGACCTGGAGAGGGGTTGGACACTCTACTTTGCTGGAGTTGCTCCGGGTGAGAGGCGGAGGGCTGGGGTTGGCTTTTTGTTAGCCCCGAGACTCTCTGCCTGTGTGTTGGGGTTTACCCCGGGGGACAAGAGGGTAGCTTCCTTGCGCCTTCGGGTCGGGGAACGGGTCCTGACTGTTGTTTGTGCTTATGGGCCAAATATCAGTTCAGAGTACCCACCCTTTTTGGAGTCCCTGGGACGAGTGCTAGATAGTGCTCCATCAGGGGACTCCATTGTCCTGCTGGGGGACTTCAACGCTCACGTGGGCAATGACAGCTTGACCTGGAGGGGTGTGATTGGGAGGAACGGCCCACCTAATCTTAACCTGAGCGGTGTTTTGTTATTGGACTTCTGTGCAAGCCGCAGTTTGGCCATAACGAACACCATGTTCGAACATAAGGATGCCCACCGGTTAACTTGGTACCAGGGCAGCCTAGGTCACAGGTCGATGATAGATTTTGTAGTCGTATCATCTGACCTGCGGCCGTATGTTTTGGACACCCGGGTGAAGAGAGGGGCGGAGCTGTCAACTGATCACCACCTGGTGGTGAGTTGGATCAGATGGCAAGGGAACATGCCGCATAGACCTGGCAGACCCAAACGCATAGTGAGGGTCTGCTGGGAACGCCTGGCAGAAGAACCTGTCAAGACGGTCTTCAACTCCCACCTCCGGCAGAGCTTTGACCACGTCCCGAGAGCAGTGGGGGACATTGAGTCCGAGTGGGCCTTGTTCCACTCTGCGATTGTCGAGGCGGCTGTTGCTAGCTGTGGTCGTAAGGTGGCCGGTGCCAGTCGTGGTGGCAACCCCCGTACCCGCTGGTGGACACCAGAGGTTCGGGGAGCCGTCAGGCTGAAGAAGGAGGCCTACAGGGCGTGGCTGGTCTGTGGGTCTCCGGAGGCAGCAGACAGGTACCGGATAGCCAAGCGGGGTGCAGCAGTGGCAGTTGCCGAGGCAAAATCTCGGGCGTGGGAGGAGTTTGGTGAGGCCATGGAGAAAGACTATCGATCGGCTCCAAAGAGGTTCTGGCAAACTGTCCGGCGCCTCAGGAGAGGAAGGCAGCAACTCGCTCACACTGTTTATAGTGGGGATGGGGAGCTGCTGACGTCAACTGAGGCTATAGTCGGACGGTGGAAGGAATACTTTGAGGAGCTCCTCAATCCCACCAATGCGCATTCCGAGGAGGAACCAGAGCTGGGAGGCCTGGGGATGGACTGTCCGATCTCGGGGGCAGAAGTTGCTGAGGTAGTCAAACAACTACACAGCGGCGGAGCCCCGGGGGCGGATGAGGTTCGTCCTGGGTATCTCAAGGCTATGGATGTTGTGGGGCTGTCATGGTTGACACGTCTATACAACATTGCGTGGTCATCGGGGGCAGTTCCTAGGGAGTGGCAGACCGGGGTGGTGGTCCCCATCTTTAAGAAGGGTGACCTGAGGGTGTGTTCCAACTATAGGGGGATCACACTCCTCAGCCTCCCTGGAAAGGTCTACTCCAAGGTACTGGAGAGGAGGGTCCGATCGATAGTTGAATTTCAGATAGAGGAGGAGCAATGTGGTTTTCGTCCTGGCCGTGGAACTGTGGACCAGCTCTATACCCTTGCAAGGGTGATGGAGGGGGCATGGGAGTTTGCCCAACCAATCCACATGTGCTTTGTGGATTTGGAGAAGGCTTATGACCGTGTCCCCAGGGGCACCCTGTGGGGGACGCTCCAGGAGTATGGGGTGGGTGGCTTTCTGTTAAGGGCCATTCAGTCCCTTTACCAGAGGAGCGTGAGTTTGGTCCGCATAGCCGGTAGTAAGTCGGACCTGTTCCCAGTGAGGGTTGGACTCCGCCAGGGCTGCCCTTTGTCACCGGTTCTGTTCATCATTTTTATGGACAGAATTTCTAGACGCAGCCGTGGTGTGGAGTGTGTCGAGTTTGGTGGCAGGAGAATCTCGTCTCTGCTTTTTGCGGATGATGTGGTCCTCCTAGCTTCATCCAGCTCTGACCTTCAGCTCTTGCTGGGTAGGTTCGCGGCCGAATGTGAAGCGGCTGGGATGAGGATCAGCACCTCCAAATCTGAGACCATGGTTCTCGACCGGAAAAGGGTGGCTTGCCACCTCCGGGTTGGGGGAGAGGTCCTACCTCAAGTGGAGGAGTTTAAGTATCTCGGGGTCTTGTTCACGAGTGAGGGTAGGAGGGATTGGGAGATCGACAGGCGGATTGGTTCGGCGTCTGCAGTGATGCGGACGCTGAGCCGATCTGTCATGGAAGAGGGAGCTGAGCCAGAAAGCCAGGCTCTCGATTTACCGGTCGATCTACGTCCCAATCCTCACCTATGGTCATGAGCTTTGGGTAATGACCGAAAGAACGAGATCGCGGATACAAGCGGCCGAAATGAGTTTCCTCCGTAGGGTGGCCGGGATCAGCCTTAGAGATAGGGTGAGGAGCTCGGTCATTCGGGAGGGACTCGGAGTAGAACCGCTGCTCCTCCGGATCGAAAGGAGCCAGTTGAGGTGGTTTGGGCATCTGGTCAGGATGCCCCCTGGACGCCTCCCCGGGGAGGTATTTCGGGCATGTCCTGCCGGCAGAAGGCCCCCGGGTCGACCCAGGACACGTTGGAGAGGTTACATCTCCAATCTGGTCCGGGAACGCCTTGGGGTCCTGCCGGAGGAGCTGGTGGACAAGGCCGGGGAGAGGACGGCCTGGAGCTCCCTAGTTGGGATGCTGCCCCCGCGACCCGGACCCGGATAAGCGGAGGAAGACGAAGACGAAGACGACGAGGTTAACTGAAGCTTTCAAAATAAAAGCACATTGCCTCTTATATCACATTAGATTTTCATCTGTTATTTAAGTAAATGTAATAATTTTGTGACTGTACCTTTATACAACTTGTAGATGACCACAACACTTATTAAAATCAGTATCAGAGATGCAACACAAATACCAATAATCCCTGGAGTTGACAGGATTTTATCTGTAAAAAAATGAGAATAAAACAATAAAAAAATTATTCATTAAATCTATGATGGTTAATAATTGCAAATGAACTTCTAACATAATTGAATGTCAAAAGACAACTCTGTACATGAAGTCTTACCGGAGTAGCACTCCTTAGCAGTGAAAGTAGCAGATTCTGTAGTGAGGGGGTTGCTAACGGTGCAGTTGTACACTTGCTTGTCGTGAACGTCTCCAAGAGGGATTATCAGCTTTGGCCCAACCTGCTTGTTACCATCTGAGCTCCACTCAAACTCCAGTAAGGACTGAGATTGTTTGGACTCGGCAGAACACATCAGCGTGGCTCCGCCTCCAGTTTTACCTGAGCTGCCTCCATCGTTCATCTCACAGGATATGGTGGGCTTGGCAATGCTGTCTGAAGGAACACAGAGAGGTACATCCAATAATTCCTATTTTATTGTGACAAACAAAAAAAATTTAACTGGCATTAATAGATTGAAAAACATCAAATACCAAATTTGTACTTTAGTACAAATTCTAGACTCAATAAAACTACGAATAGATAACATCTATAGTTTCCAAATCAAACCATCTGATTGCTGAAGCTCAAAGTCTTGATCTGATATCAACGTAGGACTTTTTATGGGTTACATATTAAAGATAAAGACTCTCTGTTTAGAGAAAGCAGAAACACTCAGATAAGTCACCAAAGGAAACATAGAAACAATTCAAAAAGTTCTAAGAACACTAAACAAACAGCATCGCAGGCTACGAAGCATTTAAATGATGATTCATGAACTCAATTTCATTGGGCTGCCAATGTTGGAGAAACAACTGAAAGAAAACAGGCATGACTCTGCAACTATTATGAGAGGAAAAGTGTTGCCAAAATATGTTTGAGACCCAAGATCGAGGCCTATTAGCAAAAACTTTGAGGCCTTTTGGAAACTACCGTTTAAATTGTTTCAATTTTGATCATCATCTCTGAGATTTAGGTTTTAATCTGATTGAAATGCACAACAACTACAAACAACAAATAGACTGTTATATTTTAGGCTGATGTTTACCAAGTTTTTTATTTATTGGCATCAGCTGACTTGCCTCTTTAGAACCAGAAATGTTGTGCATTTATTGTTATTAGTGATATTTTAGCATACAAATGGAGGGAAACATCTAGATAACGGTGATGAACAGCACACATCGGCATTGGCAAAAGAAAACACCACATCGGTCGATCTCCTTTACAAACTCAGACTATATTCATTTTCAGAGGCAATGAAGTAAAAAAGTCATAAAGTAGAATCATGTTAGACTTTAAGATGATCTCACTTCTCCTTTCAGGTACAACAACTTCCTGTATTCAGTATAGATCGAACTTGTATTTACAGTGACAATGTGTAATTTTTACCATTAATCTCTGTAAATATTCATTGAAATGTTGTTGGAAATTAATTAAAAGATACCCAGTTTTTGAAAAACATTGGCAGTTTTATTACATAAAACCATAAATATCGAGTCTCAGGGTGACGCTCTATTGGATGCCATGGATCCTTCCACGGAAGCCCGTGAGGACAGAATGCATTTACTGATTTGTAACAAATGGTTACATAACGTTCAGCATTAATAAACGTTTTACACATTTACCCCTTCACTCATTGCAAGTGATGAAAGGGAATCTGATGTTCCCGTAATTTTGCTGGAGGCTGCACTCCCAGGAATTTTTGACTCCAATGACCATCGGTTGGTAAGGTCTTACTTGAACACAAAAATAATGCTTGCTTGCAATGATTTGGGTATCTACAGCCCCCTATCGCCAGGGAAACTACACACTGTCACTTTAAACATACATAAATTGTTCCAACTTCATTATTTTGTAATGCTTTCATCAAATAAACCAATCAATGAAGTTACAACTATTTTTTATTTTAAGGTGCATTCCCTAAAATCTCTGCTAAAACATATTTATTTTTACTAATGTTGGATAAACTTTTATCCAACACAACTTAAATGTTCCCCAACGTGTATGTTTTTGATCTGTGGGAGGACACCAAAGTTGCCAGTGAACATGCCAACTCCATGCAGAAAGGATTTGAACCTGCAACCTCCGTGGTAAGAGGCAACAGCATTTCCAACTGTGTCGTCATGCAAATGCAATAACAGTTTTACACCTGGGTGCAACACCATCAAATATTCAAGATTCAAGAGAGATTTATAGTGATTGTCACAGAAACAACCAAACTGTGTTTGGAGCATGTTGTGTAACCATTTAGCCCATTATGACACCAGTGCAACTATACCAATAGAACCGATCAGACAAAGTTCTTATCATATATGATGATCTGATTTATTATCAGAGAATATTATATCGTTACAACACAAACACTATCTGGAAATGCTTTGATGAGGAATTTGCTGAACTCAAACTTTAAAAAACAAATTAACACTAAACATCTTTGGTATGTTCTTACTGTCTAGTTTCTAATTCCATTTTTGGTTATTTTTAAAACACAGAAAAAGGTTTCTCTTTACCTTGCTGACAGTTTCGTTTGCCGACTGCAAAACATCCTCAGAGCTGACGCTGATGGTGGCGTCACTTCCTACTCCGTTTATCCGCGGGCAGCAGAGGGCTGCCCCTTTGCTGCCCGCGGATAAACGAAACTGTCGGCAAACGAAACTGTCAGCAAGGTAAAGAGAAATCTTTCTTGTGTAAGAACCAAAAATGGAATTAAATTAACACAGAGTTGCATAAAAATGAATTTGTGTGTCATTTGTGGGCTTGTCCTCTTTAAACTTTCCCATGCTTGCATTACAGATATATCAGTAAACTCTCTGCCACATATTTATACCTTTAACGTTTAGGAGAAATATAAAATATTCCACATTTCCTGTTGTACCTATAATGGAAATGCCACTTTCTATTCACGAGTCTCTAACTAACGACAACATGCATCAGCGGTGCTAAAGGAAAATACAAAAACTTACCAATAACTTCCAGGTCATATTGAGAGCTTTTCAGTATGTTTTTGGTGTATATTTCCAGGTCATAACGTCCACTGTCTTCATATCTGAGGTTGGTGATGTGCACATTTGCAGAATGCCAGTCGAGAGTGACCCTTCCTTTGAAGGAGCCGTACTGCTGCTGCATTTGGCCGTTGAACTCCACCATTTTGTTCCCATTATGTTTCCACAAAATTTCATCAGGGGCAGTTTTAATGGTGGTCACAAAGTTGACATCATGGCCCAGCAGAGCATATTTAGGAGATTGTCCTGTAACTAGATGCAGAGGGAAGTAAACTGCCTGTCAGGATGAATAAATATGTTGCAAGTAAATGTTTGTTATGATGATCAAAAAATGTAACCTAGATGATAACATCACAAACAGATGAAATATAATATTAAAGCATTTTAATTCATGTATCATTTAAAAAAACTATTAATGCATAAATGTTTACAATGGAAAAGGGTTTAAAATTAACAACAGGATGCTTATTTACTAGATTACATGTGGCTATAATATTAATCAAAATACTAATACTTGAACCGTCACCTTATCGTGGTGGAGGAGTTTGAGTGCCCTAATGATCCTAGGAGCTATGTTGTCTGGGGCGCTTTGTGCCCCTGGTAGGGTCTCCCATGACAAATTGGTCTTAGGTGAAGGGTGAGACAAAGAATGGTTCACAGGATCTTTCATGGAGGTAAAGTCAAAGAGTCGGAGTACCCGGCCCGGAGGGTTACCGGGGTCCCACCCTGGAGCCAGGCCTGGGGTTGGGGTCCGTGAGTGAGCGCCTGGTGGCCGGGCTTTCGCCCATGGGGCCCAGCCGGGCCCAGCCCAAACCGGATACATGGGCTCATCCAACTGTGGACCCACCACCTGCAGGAGGAACATGAAGGGTCTGGTGCAATGTGGATCGGGTGGCAGACCGAGGCGGGAGCCTTGGCGGTCCGATCCCCGGACAAGAAAACTTGTTTTTGGGACATGGAACATCACCTCGCTGGCGGGGAAGGAGCAGGAGCTTATGGCAGAGGTTGAGCGGTACCGGCTAGATATAGTCGGACTCACCTCGACACATAGCATTGGCTCTGGAACCCAAGTCCTTGAGAGGGGATGGACACTCTCCTTTGCTTGAGTTGCTCCGGGCGAGAGGCGGAGGGCTGGGGTTGGCTTTTTGTTAGCTCCAAGACTCTCTGCCTGTGTGTTGGGGTTTACCCCGGAGGACGAGAGGGTAGCTTCCCTGCACCTTTGGGTCGGGGAACGGGTCCTGACTGCTGTTTGTGCTTATGGGCCAAATATCAGTTCAGAGTACCCACCATTTTTGGAGTCCCTGGGACGAGTGCTAGATAGTGCTCCATCAGGGGACTCCATTGTCCTGCTGGGCGACTTCAATGCTCACGTGGGAAATGACAGCTTGACCTGGAGGGGTGTGATTGGGAGGAACGGCCCGCCTGATCTGAACTCGAGTGGTGTTTCGCTATTGGACTTCTGTGCAAGCCGCAGTTTGGCCATAACGAACACCATGTTCGAACATAAGGATGCCCATCGGTACACTTGGTACCAGGGCAGCCTAGGTCGCAGGTCGATGATAGACTTTGTAGTCGTATCATCTGACCTGCGGTCATATGTTTTGGACACCCGAGTGAAGAGAGGAGCGGAGCGGTCAACTGATCACCACTTGGTGGTGAGTTGGATCAGATGGCAGGGGAAGATGCCGCATAGATCTGGCAGACCCAAACGAATAGTGAGGGTCTGCTGGGAACGCCTAGCAGAAGAACCTGTTAAGACGGTCTTCAACTCCCACCTCCGGCAGAACTTTGACCGCGTCTCGAGAGCAGTGGGGGACATTGACTCCGAGTGGGCCTTGTTCCACTCTGCGATTGTTGAGGCGGCTGTTGCTAGCTGTGGTCGCAAGGTGGCCGGTGCCAGTTGTGGTGGCAACCCCCGTACCCGCTGGTGGACACCAGAGGTTCGGGGAGCCGTCAGGCTGAAGAAGGAGGCCTACAGGGCGTGGCTGGTCTGTGGGTCACCGGAGGCAGCAGACAGGTACCGGATAGCCAAGCGGGGTGCAACAGTGGCGGTTGCCGAGGCAAAATCTCGGGCGTGGGAGGAGTTTGGTGAGGCCATGGAGAAAGACTATCCATCAGCTCCAAAGAGATTCTGGCAAACTGTCCAGCGCCTCAGGAGAGGAAGGCAGCAACTCGCTCACACTGTTTACAGTGGGGATGGGGAGCTGCTGACGTCAACTGAGGCTATAGTCGGACGGTGGAAGGAATACTTTGAGGATTTCCTCAATCCCACCTATGCGCATTCCGAGGAGGAACCAGAGCCAGGAGACCTGGGGATGGACTGTCCAATCTCGGGGGCAGAAGTTGCTGAGGTAGTCAAAAAACTACACAGCGGCGGAGCGCCGGGGGTGGATGAGGTTCGTCCTGGGTATCTCAAGGCTATGGATGTTGTAGGGCTGCCATGGTTGACACGTCTCTGCAACATTGTGTGGTCATCGGGGGCAGTTCCTGTGGAGTGGAAGACCGGGGTGGTGGTCCCCATCTTTAAGAAAGGTGACCTGAGGGTGTGTTCCAACTATAGGGGATCACACTCCTCAGCCTCCCTGGAAAGGTCTACTCCAAGGTACTGGAGAGGAGGGTCTGATCGATAGTTGAATCTCAAATTGAGGAGGAGCAATGTGGTTTTCGTCCTGGCCGTGGAACTGTGGACCAGCTCTATACCCTTGCATGGGTGATGGAGGGGGCATGGAAGTTTGCCCAACCAATCCACATGTGTTTTGTGGATTTGGAGAAGGCTTATGACCGCGTCCCCAGGGGCACCCTGTGGGGGATGCTCCAGGAGTATGGGGTGGGTGGCTTTCTGTTAAGGGCCATTCAGTCCCTTTACCAGAGGAGCGTGAGTTTGGTCCCCATAGCTGGTAGTAAGTCACACCTGTTCCCGGTGAGGGTTGGACTCCGCCAGGGCTGCCCTTTGTCACCGGTTCTGTTCATTACCTTTATGAACAGAGTTTCTAGGCGCAGCCATGGTGTGGAGTGTGTCGAGTTTGGTGGCAGGAGAATCTCGTCTCTGTTTTTTGCGGAATGTGGTCCTCCTAGCTTCATCCAGCTCTGACCTTCAGCTCTTGCTGGGTAGGTTTGCGACCGAGTGTGAAGCGGCTGGGATGAGGATCAGCACCTCCAAATCTGAGACCATGGCTCTCGACCGGAAAAGGGTGGCTTGCCAACTCCGGGTTGGGGGAGAGGTCCTACCTCAAGTGAAGGAGTTTAAGTATCTCGGGGTCTTGTTCACGAGTGAGGGTAGGAGGGATCGGGAGATCGACAGGCGGATTGGTTCAGCATCTGCTGTGATGCGGACGCTGAGCCGATCTGTTGTGGTGAAGAGGGAGCTGAGCCAGAAAGCCAGGCTCTCGATTTACCGGTCGATCTACGTCCCAATCCTCACTTATGGTCACGAGCTTTGGGTAATGACCGAAAGAACGAGATTGTGGATACAAGCGGCCGAAATGAGTTTCCTCCGTAGGGTGGCTGGGCTCAGCCTTAGAGATAGGGTGAGGAGCTCGGACATTCGGAAGGGACTCGGGAGTAGAACCGCTGCTCCTCCGGATTGAAAGGAGCCAGTTGAGGTGGTCTGGGCATCTGGTCAGGATGCCTCCTGGACGCCTCCCTGAGGAGGTGTTTCGGGCATGTCCTGCCGGCAGGAGGCCCCCGGGTTGACCCAGGACACGTTGGAGAGTTTACATCTCCAATCTGGTCCGGGAACGCCTTGGGGTCCTGCCGGAGGAGCTGGTGGAGAAGGCCGGGGAGAGGACGGTCTGGAGCTCCCTAGTTGGGATGCTGCCCCCGCGACCTGGATAAGCGGAGGAAGACGACGATGACGCCGACTAATAAATGTTATTTTAATTGAGACAATTTTGTCATTTTGACCCACAGCTATAGGAGAATTGCAACTACTCTACATTACAGAGGATTTGCTCATAAAACACAGTAATATTATTTTAAATTAAATATCATGAAGAAGATGGAAAAACATTAGTATTTAATGAATGAACAGACAGGTAACAGTTTGAAAGTAGCAATTGATAAAGACGGGACTAACTGGAAAAAAATACAACCATATTTATCAAATGCACTATTAGTAGGTATAGAACGTACTACAAGAACAACCACATGGCGGCAAAGAAACACAGGCAAGTTCAAAAAGAAATAATGGAGGCATCCCACTTATGTAAGACACACGTTGGGGTTCCAGAGGGAGGTCAGTGGAGGCTTTTTTGGATCAGTTCACTAAAGTTCACTCAGCACTGATAGAAATAGAGTTGGGGACATCTTCAAACTCCAGCAAAGCAAGCAGCCTGCGACATCGTATAGAGGCTTTTGACACAATCATCTCTGCTGTCACAGCACACAAAATTCTTGGCTTCATCCAGCCAGTGTCTAAAGCACTACAGTCACCAAATATAGACCTGATGACCGCATACAAAGAGACAAGACTGGTTGCACAGCCCATTTCTATGCTAAGAAGTGAGGAGGCCTTCAGTGAAATTTTTGGCAAATCAGAAATCTTGCCAGCTTCATTGGAGTTACACCGGTAAAAAAGCCTGTGATTAATAGACAGATAAAAAGAGAGAACACACCTTCACAGTCAGTTGAGGAACATTACAGACTCAATCTCTTTTATCCATTTATTGATCAAGAGACAAGCCAACTAAACACCAGGTTCGCAGAGGACTCTGAGCCAGCCATGCTTGCAACATGCCTAGTACCTTCAGCCCTGTCTAAACTCACTGAAGAAAAAAAAAAAGAACTGATGGTATCATGGTACAGACAAGACCTCCCTCAGCCAGAATCAATCAACCAGGAGATTCACAGATGGATGGTAAAGAACCAGCCTCCAACAGAACTGGCATCAACAGCCAAAGAAACATTAGATCAGATGGATCAACAATTCTACCCAAACATCCACTGTATCCTCTCCATCTACCTCACACTACCAGTGACCACCTGCTCATGTGAGAGGCCATTCTCGGCACTAAGACGGCTGAAATCCTGGCTACGATCCAGCATGACAAATGACAGTTTGTCAGGACTTGCAATGATGCATGTGCATAAAAACTGAGCACTTGACCCCGAAAAAGTTCTCGTGCGCTGGGATGCTTCTGGACACAGGATAATTTCACTAGCATTTGATAAAAAGGTAAACTTTATGTCAAAATCTTGCATACAATCAGTAACCCGGTTGTTGACGCACAATTTCCTGTCATTTCAGTGAGTCTTCATGATGAGGCTGGTTCATCCTGATGCCCATGGATTTATTTACATCAGCACACACAAAACATACATGTCATACTACACACATACTACATAAACACTTCAGTTTTGAATAAATGGTTAATTTTTATTTGAGTTTTGGTCTTCATTTTGGTCTCTACTTTCTAATCAATGTACATGGAACAATGGCTTGTGGACCTCGGTAGTTTTGAAACTCTGGATACGGCCCTGATCACCGCTATACAATGAGGAAAACAAGATCTACTCAAAACAAATGAACTACAGTCAACATTAATTATTATTAATAATAATAAACAATATGGCTCAAACAAGCTGGATAAAGGAGAAACGTTGGTTCCTCTAAACTTATGGTCATTTTTCATTGTTCCATAAACTTGTAACAGGTAAATAAATCATATTTACACAAAAAGGTCAAATGGGATAAAGAAAAGTATAAATGAACGTTTCACCACAAAAAATTAATTAATAAATAAACTTACCTTGACAAATGGTAAAAACACAGTAGGCAAAGAAATATCGATGAGCCATTACGACCAAGCCAACTTTCACTTTGTGACTTTGGAAAAAATAAAACGTCGCGCTTTGCGACAGGAAAGGTCAGGTTACGGACCAGAACCTCACAGAAAAAGAAAACATTTCCCCCCCTAAATAAGTTAGTGGATCATTGCGTCTCTAATCTAAACGTCTGGCCCCTAAACTCAAGCTAAAACAGAAAATGTTGGGGGAAAAAACTGCCAAAGCTTCGGTGACTGCGGAGTTCACCTGTCGTACCTGAGCTTCCGGAAAGTTACCTTTCAAAATAAAGTCGTTATAGGTAAACATCGGTCTTTGCTAATCTAGCTTTAAGCCCAAAATTATTTTTAATTATAGTATTATTATGATATTGTTTAAACAAGTCAATGTAATCAAAAAACTGTAGTTAAGCGTTTTTAATATATTTTCATAAAATGTGTCTCGTCTTTGAAGGCCACGTGATCGCTGTAAGAAAGAACTTTAGCTTTTATTTTGAAAATATACCCAAATTCTTGTCTTCTAGAGAATTAAAGGACTTCGGCTGAGTGAAAAGGAGTTGAATAAAACAAAATTCAGAATCTATTAGTTAACACCTGAAAGAAGAAAAAGTCAGAGCAGTTTTTCTCATTTTTATTTGTTTTATAATCTTTTTCTCCCAATATTAAAATTCTTAGGGCTAAAGTTTGACATACATTAAACATTAAAAATCAAAGTATAGATCAAAACATTTCTAAAATGTAAAAGTTAAACACAAAATTAATAACATTAAAATAATACAAAGAAATTTCAATAAAACTTTGATTATATGTTTAATCTCCTCTGGCCAACAGTTTTATCTTCAACTGCCTGTCTTATTTCCTTTTTCTGTGCTCTCCTCTGAGTTAGGCCCGATCTTGTCCCCATCTTTGTGATCTGTTACAGTTTTGCAGCATCAGGTGACATTAAAGGAGTGTGTTACTGTCGTCTGGTTATGATATTGCGGAGCTTTTGAGGCTATAGATCCAGTTCTGCACCATCTGGTGTTTTATCTTCAGAAACCTGTGTCGCCTTCCAGCAAGTTCTCCTCTCCTGGGTTAGTTTTGGTGAGAGGGGGCTGTAGCACATCTCCAGCAGCCTGATCAGGTCTGGTTTCTTTATTTGGTTCTGTCTCTGGAGGCATTTTTGATCCCAAACGAGATCGTGGTTCAACTGCAGGTTTGTGATGGGTCACCATCTTATATACGTTTCACTTGGATCTGAAACAGAAAGTAAAACATCTCAGGCTTAAAATAAATTCTAACTGTATGGAGGTTTTGGAGAGAGCAACACAAAAAATGTATTTCCAAACAAAGTTAACAGTGTGCATTTAAGTTAATCAGATTCAGTTTTCCTTCCTGGTTGTGACCTGTGCTTGTATAAATATAGTTGAACTTGTCAAAACTGAGAAATGTTACCCAGAGCCACTTCTGGTTCAGTGTTTTTCTTTTTTGATAAGGGAAATAAAAAAAACATGTCATGAATAAATTAAAAGAAACTGCTTTTCAGGTGGAGAGCATGGAAAGGAACTTATGCTGTCCTTGTAACCTAGAATACAGAAAAAAATCAAAATAAAAATGTTAAGAAAGAATGCACAAGGTGAACAGTACGTCACTCAAAAGCACAACTTGGTAGTGATGTTGAATGGGCAGCAGGCTGACAAAACCGGAGCAACCAGTGATTCCACCCTCTAGCCAATCAGTGACCGACAGCCGCTGACTTTTTCAGTCTGGCCCGGTACGATTGGTGATGAAAACATTATGGCAGAGAAAATGTGAGGAAATAACGTCAGGCCCAAACTGGACTACCCTCCATCTCCTCTGCCAGGTTTGTGACGTCACCAACCAGAGGTGTGACCAAGTCACTGCTTTCCAGATCAGAAGTAAGTCACAGATGTGATGGACTGGCTCTCTGTCTAGGGTGTACACCGCCTGATTGCCCATTGACCGCTGGAGATAGGCACCGCCCCCCCACGACCCTACGTGGACAAAGCGGGTTCAGACAATGGATGGATGGAAGTAAGTCACAAGTCTTTCCAGTCAAGTCTCGAGTCAAGTCCAAGTCAAAGACAACCAAGTCCATGTGGAGTCCAAAGTGAATGAAGTGGAAGTCCAAGTCAAGTCCAGTCCTTAACTTTGAATTTTCAAGTCATAATCAAGTCATCTGTCCAGCTTCAATTTAATGACATTTATAATAAATAAATTCCAGAATTAAAACTTCTTAAAGCTTCATTTATTTGCTCAAACAAGCAGAAAGTACAACTGAAACTGATTCTAAACAAAGTGCTGCTGCATTTAGCGGTACAAGATCACACCCAGAACCAAGAATGATTTGTGATTTTTGTCCATGTCGGGCCACTTTTATGCTAAATAATCAAATATGCTCAAGTCATCATCAAGTCAACAGATGCAAGTTGATTCAAGCTGTAAGTCATTGGTGTTAAAGTCCGATTCAAGTCATAAGTCTTTATAGATTTAATCAAGTTAAGTCAGAAGTCATTAAAATAATGACTTGAGTCTGACTCAAGTCCAAGTCATATGACTCGAGTCCACACCTGTCACAAACATTAATATGGGAGTGAGTTATCTCATGTTCCTCTAATCATGGCCAAGAAAACAATCCTCATGAACTGGAAAAAAAAAGAACTCAAAGACCAAGTTTGCTCTTCTTTTGAACACATTTGCAGATGGTCTCTAGCAGAAATGAACGTTTTGCAAGTTGAACTGTGGATAAAAAGCTCTTGCGCTCCTGCTTCAGGAAGGAGGGTTGGAGAGTCGTGGGAGAGAGGGGTGGGGCAGAAGAATTTGGGATTTAAAGTCTTACTTGTTGTTATTTCCTGATATTCTCACCTCTAAATAGTCAACAGCCATTTGACTCTTCTTGCTTTGCATTGTTGATGTTTAATCTCTACAATTAGCATTAGCCTGACAAGCTATCCTTCATACTTCAATACTCTGGCCATGACCCATTGAAACCATCCAGTCATGGGGCAGATATTACAGTCGTCTTTCAAATTGTTTTTGAGAACTTTTTTCTCTGCTTGTCCCCTTCTAAATCCCCTTCACCCTCCAGGAAGATGTGATTCGGACTTTGTCACAATCAGGTAAGTTAACATCATCCTCTGATGCTGCAGGTTCAGAATCGGAGACTTCTCTCTGCACACCTGCTGTCAGCTTCATTTCATTTTCTTTGTTTGTACATTTTCTAGAAGCTTCCCCAACATGCTCTGACTTTTCTGCCACAGGAGAAAACATTGACTTTCTCTTGGCTCCGTTCTCCTCTAAACCTGAAGCACAAGAAGGAAACAGTCTGTAAAACAAACCCATGCTATCTGTGTTTATCAGACACTGAATTTAGAAGATTTATTTGATTACAGGAAAGAGGTCTGAAAAGTAGTTTGTGAACACTTAAATAATCAGAATAAAATGGTTATAAACATATTTTCTAACTCACCATTATCACTTGTCAGAGTGTGCAGGATCAGGCTCTGGATCTTTGTTCCCAGTTTCTCCAGACTCGTTTTCATCAGCTTGTTCATTTGTTGGGAGGTCATGACATTTTCCAGATGAAGAGGAAGCAGATGATTCGATCCTCTTCTCTTCTGAACCTAAAATACAGGTAAAAAAAATTTCTATAATTTTGATGAAAATAACTTGAGACGTTTTAGTTTTCTTACCAGACTGATAACCGAGCACTTGAGTCAACATTTCCTGATCTTATCATCAAAACAAACAATTGCTTTTGTTGGTAAAACTAATATATTTCACTCGCCCCATGGTGGTGGTGGTGCTCAGTCACAGCAGCTCGAGGCTCCCAGTTTCTAATTATATTTATTCATGCTTATTGTGATTTTATCCAGAAAATGTCCATTCATATCTTTCTTAATGTGCTTTATCATATTTTATCATGTTTTCCTACCCATTTATGCTTTCATCGTTTGTGGTACAAGGTGGCTTGGTGGAAAAACCCTGAATTCTGTAGTACTTCTGTGTACAAAGGACTATAAAAGATGGTTCCCTTCTCTTCTATTGTAATTGGAGCTTGTTATTCAAAGTATATTCCATTTGGGTTTGAGACAGATGGATTCACTTTGCCTACTTAGTTACGTCACAAACATTAATATGAAAGTGAGTAAATATCTCATGCTCCAGCTTAAACAGCTGTTCTTCGGGTCTCTAATGACCTCCTGATTCAGGGGAATTCAGTGATGCAGGGGACTGTCCTGTTCTGGTTCTGTAGCCTGCAGCCATTGACACGTTGACCATCATCTGCTACTGGACAGGCTGAGAGACTAGGTAGGTCTATCATGATCTGCTCTGGAGTGGTTCTCCTCTCATCTGTCCAAGTGTTCCTTCTCTGTGACTGTCTCAAAGTTTCAGTCGTCCTCCACCTCCCTCACCCATGGTGTCCCGCAAGGTTCTGTGTTGGGAACTCTAATGTTCCTCCTCCATCTACTCCTTCTCCACATCCTGACCCCTTTTAATGGGACGTCCTACCACTTTATGCAGATGACATCTAACTGTACTCCTCCTCTTACCCCGGGTTTCCACGGGAGCCGTCAGCAGCACGTTACTGCAGCAGCACGTCTTGCTCGCGTAAGCTGCTGCTTGGCCCTTCCCACGAGACGCGAAGCAGCAGGGGAGCAGCTGTCACCGACCGAGCGCGAAGTCACACGAGTGACTTCGTCAGTAAACACAACAACAAGCAGGAGAAAACTACAACATGGTTTGTGTTTTATGTTCTGTCCGTTTTATAATCGCCAATACGGACCTGAAAAACAAAGAGACCGCTAGCTGTGTGATAACTTCTCACGGGGCCGCACAGTTAGTAACTGTTTTTAAAAGTAAAGCAACCGGAAGGCATTACGTTCTTTATTCTGAAAATCTCGGGAGCTTCTCCCCATTTCCGCGTTCGATTTCCTGTCTTTCCTTCCCCAAAAATGTCTAACTTGACCCGTTTCAGAGGCGTCGCGCGTGGAAAATAGAACCGGCGCTTAAAGGCCGCGACATGCTGCTCCTGAGATGCGGCCGACTCGCGCTGCTGACGACTGCCGACGGCTCTAGTGGAAAAGGTTCTGTTGACCACAGCGGTTCCTATGAGCAGCTATGACGTACTGCTGCAGTAACGTGCTGCTGACGGCTCCCGTGGAAAGCCGGGGTTAGCCTCATGAGATGTCTAAGCTGCAGCTGCTGCTGTGAAATTGGCATTTTTAACATGGGAGTCAATGAGGATTTGCTCACTTCTGGTGCCAGCCCCTAGTGGATAAGAGTGGAACTGCAATTGTTGCCACCTGCTTAGACTGTATTAAAACCTGGATTGCTTTATACAGCTGAATGAAGATAAGACTAAGATCCTTATCTGTGCCCCAGACAAGCTGGTTCCCAAAGTCAGAGACTCTCTTGGTCAGCTTTCTTCTCACACCAAACCCTCTGTTAGGAATCTTGAGGTGACCTTTGACCCAGCTCCCACCCTGGAGTCTCATGTCAGTTCTCTTGTTTGTGCTTCCTCCTGTAACTCGTTTTTCACGTGTCTGAGCAATACCTCCCTGAACCGTCTACAGGTGGTTCAGAATGCCTGTGCTCGGCTTCTGACCAAATCACCCCGCTTCTTCTCAAACTTCACTGGCTGCTAGTTAACTGGTTAAGGAAAAATCAACTTAAAGAATATGAATGTTTGTGGCCATAATTGTTGGCCAAATAACTTAAAACAAAACATGTCTCTTTTTTTCTCTGCTTGTCCCCTTTAAGTCTGCTTGACCCTCCAGGAAGATGTGATTCTACTCTCTTTGATCGTCACAACCAGGTAAGGTAACATCAGCCTCTGCGGACGCTGCGGGTTCAGACTCAGATGCGTTTTTCTCCACAGCTCCTAAGGCTTCACTCCATCTCCTTTTTCTATGAAACTTCTAGAACACATCCTAACAAGCTCTGACTTTTCAGGCACAGGAGGAGGTATTGACTTTCTCTTGTTGCGGTTGTCCTCCAGACATGCCACTAAAGAAAAACGTTATAAAATTTTCCCTTTCTGATAAAAATAAATATCTTTATACTTGTATTTTTTAAAGTTTTTATTACAGGAATGTTAACTGAGCACCTATCAACTTGTTGTGATTTTATCATTAAAAAATCTACTGCTTTTAATAATAAAACATACAATGATTTTTTTCCTGGAGCTTGTTATTGAATGTATGTCATCTTCTACGGAGTCATTCATTTGTAAGACATACTACATAGAAGCCACTAAGCCTAGATCATGCCAAGACCCCATAATCCCTGGTATGACAATGAAGCCAACACTGAAGTGGCAACGATTGCAGTTCCACTCTTATCCGCTAGGGGCAGGTGTCAGAAATGAGCAAATCCTCATTGACTCCCATGTTAAAAATGCCAATTTCACAGCAGAAATAAACAAGTTTACAGCCTGGTTCAAAAAACCCAATTAAGGTTTAATAGTTCTACTTTACATTCATGACAGGTGTGTCACCGTATGCGTTATTTGTTTTCATGCTAACGACAATAAGGCTGAGAAAAAAACTTGAGTTGGTAAGAAAATAAAAGCTACTTTTGACTTATTCAGTTATACTTTCAGACACTCACTAATAATTAAAAAGGTTTAAATCTAATCTGAAATAAATATAAAAATCTTACAAAAAGATAAGCACAATTTCTATTGAGATTTCTAAGAATGCCCTGCTTTTGTTTAAATGAGAATGGAGGGTGCATTAAATCTTGTTTTAACTCACTTTGTTTTTCAAAAACAGAAACTGTAGGGCTGTGCACTGAAGCTTTTACTTCCACAAATCCCCAGTGCTCCTGTTCATCAACTTCTCCTTTATTTGATTAAATGTCCAGAGTTTGGGGATGATTTCTTTTGGCTCTTTTCTCCTCTAAGACAAAAAACCTGTTATCACTAAAATCACAGAAGTGAATTATTAAAGTATCATTTGACTATAGGAAAGGTGGTTACAAAATGTGTTTGATGTTTTTTATACTAAATAAACAGGATAAAATGATTGAAAATAGATTTTTATAGCTAAATAGAGTTCCAGCTGATGTTACTATTGCCAGTCTTTATATAGTGTGCAGGATCAAGCTCTTTATCTGTGTTTTTCCCAGTTTCTTCAGGCTGTTCAAGGTAAATAAAAAAATGTCATAAATAAATAAAAAGAAACTGCTGATGCAGAACATACTGCACAATGTTTCATTTACTATTATTTCATTTACCATTATGCCTTCCATTATATAAAGAGGTGAGTGTTAAGAGTAAGTGCATTATTGTGCAGAAAAGCAAAAGCAGAAGAACAGATGAAATTACACACAGAAAGAGGAGGTCTTCTGCAAATGCACGAGCTACAAGTTAAGATAAGCAACATGTGTCGATGTTTTTTTTTTTACTTTTACAAGATTAAACCAGAACAGCTGAGAAGAATCTGAAACTTATGGGAGAAGTCAAACCAGAGCGGATCAAAAAGTTCTGGTTTACAAGCTCATTTTGTGATATTTGAAATGAAAGTAACTTATAAAATTTAAAGAAAGAAAGAAAGAAAGAAAGAAAGAAAGAAAGAAAGAAAGATGTTAGCAGAGTTACAGGAAACAACAGGGCCTCGGCTGGCAGCTCTAACTGAGACATCTTGGATAAAGGTCCCCCAGGACTAGGATTAGACACCCCTGCTTAAAACAGTCATCAGTGACCTTCTCGTGACCTTTGTTTACAACTCAACCCTGCTTTGATCACAACCGGATCCTCAACCACACAAAGTCAAAACTCCAACAAGATAGCATAAACTCTAGATAAGAATTGCAACACCAACTTAATATACACAGCTTTTATCAAAAAGCCACACATGAGTAACTCTAAAAAAGTAAGTTAATGGAAATGTACACTCCATTTGAAAAAATAAATAAACTGATTAACAAAGAAGCTTTTGTTAGCGTGGAAGCGACAGACTCAGGGGTTTGCCCTGTAATCGGTGAGTCGTAGGGTCGTAGTCGTTGTATCCTTGGAAACGACACCTCACCCTCCTGCCTGCTGGTGGTTGGAGGGACCAGTGGCACCTGTGCTTGGCAGCCTCTCCTCTGTCAATGAGCCCCAAGGCAGCTGTAGCTACACTGTAGCTCGCCACCAGCATGTGAATGTGTGAATAATTCACTCAAGTGTAAAATGATTTGGAGTCCTCTGACTCAGAAAGGCGCTAAAAGGGCAAGTCCTTTTTATCAGAATACAAATGCATTGTTTACATTATCAGTAAAAAATATATATTTGTAATTTTATACATTTAAAATCAATATTGTTACACAGAGGAGGATAAATGATGTGCAAACTCTGTTTTACTCACCATGTTGGTAAGAAACAGCCATCTTAGAAGCTGCAGGTTCAGACTCATCTGCTGAGAACTTCTCTACATTTTCTTCTTCTGTGAGTCCTTTGAAATCTTCAAGGAGAGATATTGAATTTCTTTTGGCTCTTTTCTCATCTAAATCCGAAACACAAAAAAGAATAGCTCCCTAAGACAAAACCCCAGTTATCACTAAATATCACAGAAATGAATTATTAAAGTATCAGTTGACTATAGGAAAGGTGGTTAGAAAATGTGTTTGATGGTTTTTATACTAAATAAGCAGGATAAAATGATTGAAAATAGATTTTTAAAGCTAAATAACAGAGTTCCAGCTCATCTTACTATCGTCTGTCTTCATATAGTCTGCAGGATCAAGCTCTTCATCTGTGTTTCTCCCAGTTTCTACAGCCTGTTCTGTTGTTTGGAGATCGGGAGTGGGAGTAAGGTTTTCAGGTGAACAGCATGGAAATGAACTTATGCTGTCCTTGTGACCTAGAATACAGAAAAAATCTAAAAATGTTAAGAAAGAATGCACAAGGTGAACAGTACGTCACACAAAAGCACAACATGGTAGTGATGTTGAATGGACAGCAGGCTGAGAAAACTGGAGCAACCAGTGATTCCACCCTCTAGCCAATCAGTGACCGACAGCCGCTGACTTTTTCAGTCTGGCCCGGTACGATTGGTGATGAAAACATTATGGCAGAGAAAATGTGAGGAAATAACGTCAGGCCCACACTGGACTACCCTCCAACTCCTCTGCTGGGTTTGTGACATCAGCAACCAGAGGTGTGACCAAGTCACTGCTTTGCAAGTCATAAGTAAGTCACAAGTCTTTCCAGTCAAGTCTCGAGTCAAGTCCAAGTCAAAGACAACCAAGTCCAAGTGGAGTCCAAAGTCAATGATGTGGAAGTCCAAGTAAAGTCCACGTCCTTAACTTTGAATTTTCAAGTCATATTCAAGTCATCTATCCAACTTCAATTTTAATGACAATGATAATAAATTAATCCATCCAGTCATGGGGCAGATATTACAGTCGTCTTTCAAATTGTTTTTGAGAACTTTTTTCTCTGCTTGTCCCCTTCTAAATCCCCTTCACCCTCCAGGAAGATGTGATTCTTACTTTGTTTGTCACAATCAGGTAAGTTAACATCATCCTCTGACGCTGCAGGTTCAGACTCGGAGACTTCTCTCTGCACAGCTGCTCTCAGCTTCATTTCATTTTCTTTGTTTGTAAATTTTCTAGAAGCTTCCCCAACATGCTCTGACTTTTCTGCCACAGGAGAAAACATTGACTTTCTCTTGGCTCCGTTCTCCTCTAAACCTGAAGCACAAGAAGGAAACAGTCTGTAAAACAAACCCATGCTATCTGTGTTTTTCAGACATTGAATTCGGAAGATTTATTTGATTACAGGAAAGAGGTCTGAAAAGTGGTTTGTGAACACTGCTAGTATAAATAATCAGAATAAAATGGTTATAAACATATTTTCTAACTCACCATTATCACTTGTCTTAGAGTGTGCAGGATCAGGCTCTGGATCTTTGTTCCCAGTTTCTCCAGACTTGTTTTCATCAGCTTGTTCATTTGTTGGGAGGTCATGACATTTTCCAGATGAAGAGGAAGCAGATGATTCGATCCTTTTCACCTCTGAACCTAAAATACGGGTAAAAACTGTTTCTATAATTTTGATGAAAATAACTTGAGACGTTCTATTTTTCTTACCAGACTGATAACCGAGCACTTGAGTCAACATTTCCTGATCTTATCATCAAAACAAACAAGTGCTTTTGTTAGTAAAACTAATATATTTCACTCGCCCCATGGTGGTGGTGCTCACAGTCGCAGCAGCTCGAGGATCCCAGTTCCTAATTGTATTGCAGTGTTTACTTGCACCTTTTAAATTTGTTTTTATTCATGCTTATTGTGGTTTTATCCAGAAAATTTACATCCTCACATTCACATCTTTTTTAATGTGTTTTATCATATTTTATCATGTTTTCCTACCCATTTATGCTTTAATCGTTTGTGGTACAAGGTGGCTTGGTGGAAAAACCCTGAATTCTGTAGTACTTCTGTGTGCAAAGGACTATAAAAGACGGTTCCCTTCTCTTCTATTGTAATTGGAGCTTGTTATTCAAAGTATATTCCATGTGGGTTTGAGACAAATGGATTCACTCTGCTTACTTAGTTACGTCACAAACATTAATATGAAAGTGAGTAAATATTTCATGCTCCAGCTTAAACAGCTGTTCTTCGGGTCTCTAATGACCTCCTGATTCAGGGGAATTCAGTGATGCAGGGGACTGTCCTGTTCTGGTTCTGTAGCCTGCAGCCATTGACACGTTGACCATCATCTGCTACTGGACAGGCTGAGAGACTAGCTAGGTCTATCATGATCTGCTCTGGAGTGGTTCTCCTCTCATCTCTCTGAGCATTCCTTCTCTGTGACTGTCTCAAAGTTTCAGTCGTCCTCCACCTCCCTCACCCATGGTGCCCCACAAGGTTCTGTGCTGGGGCCTCTACTGTTCCTCCCCCATCTACTCCTTCTCCACATCCTGACCCCTTTTAATGGGACGTCCTACCACTTTATGCAGATGACATCTAACTGTACACCTCCTCTTAGCCTCATGAGATGTCTAAGCTGCAGCTGCTTAGACTCTATTAAAACCTGGATTGCTTTCTACAGCTGAATGGAGATAAGACTGAGATCCTCATCTGTGCCCCAGACAAGCTGGTTCCCAAAGTCAGAAACTTTCTTGGTCAGCTTTCTTCTCACACCAAACCCTCTGTTAGGAATCTTGGTGTGACCTTTGACCCAGCTCCCACCCTGGATTCTCATGTCAGTTCTCTTGTTCACTCTTCCTTCTTCCATCTCAGGAACATTGCTGAGTCCCATTCCCACTCTGAAACTGAGACAGTTATCCACACCTTCATCTCCTCACGCTTACACTACTGTAACTCTCTTTTCACGTGTCTGAGCAGAACCTCCCTGAACCGTCTACGTGTGGTTCAGAATGCCTGTGCTCGGCTTCTGACCAAATCACTCTGCTTCTCCTCAAACTTCACTGGTTGCTAGTTAACTGGTTAAGGAAAAATCAACTTAAAGAATATGAATGTTTGTGGCCATAATTGTTAGTCAAATAACTTAAAACAGCACATGTCTCTTTTTTTCTCTGCTTGTCCCCTTTAAGTCTGCTTGACCCTCCAGGAAGATGTGATTCTACTCACTTTGTTTGTCACAACCAGGTAAGGTAACATCAGCCTCTGCAGATGCTGCGGGTTCAGGGGCTTTTCTCTCCACAGCCGCTGAGGGTTTCAGTAAAAAATTTTTTGCTGTGAGTCTTCTAGAAAGTTCCCCAACAAGCCCTGACGTTTCAGCCACAGGAGGAGCTGTTGACTTTCTCTTGTCCTCTAGATGTCCTGGGGGATGCTTTTTGGAGTTCAATGGAGTTCTCAGGTCTTGTATGGTTTTCTCTGAGTCTGAAAAACAAAAGAAAGACAAAATAAACAACTGTAAAACTCTATGGTTGTTTCGACAGCTAAAGGAAATTAAAATGATTAAATAAAAACAATTAAATAATTTTAAATGAAAGATTGCTTCTGGATTTGCTGTTACGGAGCAATCTTAATATTCCTCTAAAACATGCATTTTTATTATCATTTAAACAATTTTGGTCTTAAATATTTAAGTCTTTACGCTGAAATTTTTGTTTAAAAAAATTAATATCACTTTTTGTCTTTTTCCATCAAGACTAGATTGCACAATTGCCGTAGCTCATAAACGTTTTTTTAAACCAACAATATCAAACTGGGAGTGATTTACCATTGTGAGTCGGCTTTTGGTTTAAATAACGAAGAGGCTGGTGTGACGGCATCGTGGGAGCTCGGTCTATGAGACCCTGCTTTTCCTCACGATCTTCATCTGAACCTGAAAAACCATCCGATATGACACATAAAAATTATTTAACAACTAAAACTTCACAAAGATGGTTTCTAAACAACCAAAGGAAAAAATCATTTAAATTTATCAGTCACAATATGAGTTAACTGGTAAATGTTGCTTGAAGCAGCAGTGGAGACAACAAAGTATCATACCAGCTGTTTTGTCCTGATCTGATTGGCTTTCAACATCACTTTTTGTCACACGTCCACATTTCCCTAAATTTGAAAATTAGCAAAACAACAAAATATTTTAATTTAATTTGGTTCAATTTAAAGCTGAAGCTTAATAATGACGCATAAAACGCTTTTAATACACCTCAGAAAATTGATAGTAAAATATTTGTATTCCTTAAACATGAACATCGTAGAGGAAATGAGGGACATATTTTGTTAAATGAGTAATTTTAATGTGGCTTTCAACTTTCAAAATAAAAGCACATTGCATCAGATCAGACTTTGACCCTTATTTAAGTAAAGGTTATAATTTAGCGACTGTACCTTTGTAGAACTTGTAGATGACCACAAAAATGACCAAAATCAGAAAAGATCCAACACAAATACCAATAATCACTGGAGTTGAAATACTTTTATCTGTAAAAAAATGAACAGAAAACCATAAAACATATTTTATCTTTATATATATATTTTTGAACAAAACACGCCTCTCAATACTGCCTAAAAAGAGCTTCGACAAGGAATACACACTTTTCATGCATGATTTATTTGAGTTTTATCTATGACTGTAAATTAACTTCTAACATAATTCAATGTCAAAGAAAACCCCACACGTGTACATGAAGTCTTACCGGAGTAGCACTCCTTAGCAATGAAAGTAGCAGATTCTGTAGTGAGGGGGTTGCTAACAGTGCAGTTGTACACTTGCTTGTCGTGAACGTCTCCAAGAGGGATTATCAGCTTTGGCCCAACCTGCTTGTTACCATCTGAGTTCCACTCAAACTCCAGTAAGGACTGAGATTGTTTGGACTCGGCAGAACACATCAGCGTGGCTCCGCCTCCAGTTTTACCTGAGCTGCCTCCATCGTTCATCTCACAGGATATGTTGGGCTTGGCAATGCTGTCTGAAAAAACACAGAGAGGTACGTTCACCAATTCCTATTTTAAATGCTGTTTCCAACTGCACCATCATGCAAAGCAAACATGCAATAGAAGAGTTTTACAAATGGCTGCAACACCATAAGGCTTTTTTGATCACAGCGGAGGCTTTTATTAAACAACACTAACCAATGTCTGGAAATGTTTTCATGAGCATAAAAAGAGTTTCCTTCTGTTTGCTGATAGAACTCAGAGTTTGAAAAACAAATTGCATACGGTTGCTTAAAAATAAATTGTGTGTGATTTGTAGCCTTGCATTAGCAGTACAGCTGTGAACTCTCTGCCATGTGTGACGTCAAATATTTAAAAATGTCATATTTTACACATTTCCTGTTGCTAGACTGATTTTTCAACTGGCTGATATTTAGAGGTGATAATTACCTTTTTATACATTGACATTGGCCAATATACCTCTTGAGTAAAATCGATTTAGAGTCAGAATTTAATTTAAACCTATATTTACATTCCTGAATACAATCTGCATTATAAATGTTCAAAATTGTATTTTGAACAAAAATACACCATTTTTGAATATTTAACACCTTTTAAGTTAACTGATTGTTCGATTGACTTTAGTTAGATGTCAGATTTTAATACAGTTAATACAGTGTACAAAATTATGTGTCAACAGCTAGACACAAAGACAAATGACTGTTCTCATAAATAATATGTACAAGCAATCAAAACAGACTTAAAACAATCTTCAAGTACTCAGATGCAGGCATATTGATCAGAAACTAGTAATTGCAATGACTTATTGAAGGTAGATAATGGAATGTAGGTAGTGAGCTTCAGTGATTTTTGCAGCTCATTCCACTCATTGGAAGCAGCAAACTGGAATGAGGAATGGCTAAAGGAGGTGCGAGCTTTGGGATTAGCCAGAGATTAAGTTCCTGGAACGTAAATTGCACTGGTTGTTGGAAGTGATGAGTAATGGACGAAGGTATGATGATGTTTTATCAATGATTGTTTTGTATATGAACTGCTACCAATGTAACAACCTCTAGGAATGGAGTGATGCCAGTTAACGAGTGAGTACAGATCACAATGATGAGTAGTGAACGGGGATCCAGTGAAGAAATGGATTGCTGAGTGATAAATGACATCGAGTTTATGAAGACGTTTTTTGGAAGCAATTCTATAAATGATGTCACCGTCACCTAAGATTGGAAGGATTGTCATTTTGCTTTGCAGAATGAGTAAAGGATGACCTGTCTAAATCTAAAGACCTCATGCCCCAATGGTGAACTTACCAATAACTTCCAGGTCAAATTCTAAGCTTTTCATTATGTTGTTGATGTATATTTTCAAGTCATAACGTCCACTGTCTTCATATCGGAGGTTGGTGATGTTCAGATCTGCAGAATGCCTATCAAGAATGGCCCTTCCTTTAAAAGAGTCGTACTGCTGCTGCATTTGGCCGTTAAACTCCACCACTTTGTTCCCATTATGCCTCCACATAATGTCATCTGAGGCTGTTTTGATGTCGGCCACAAAGTTGACATCTTTCCCCAGCAGAGCATATTTAGTAGGTAGTCCTGTAACTAGAAGGAGAAAGGGAAAGTTAAGTGCCTCAGTTAGGATGAATAAACATGTTACAAGTAAATGTTTGTTGTGATGAGTACAGCATCAAAACATAGGTAGAAATACGAAAAGAAATTACAGAAAAACATTTTTTATATATCAAAATTATAAAGGTTAAAAATGGAACCAAATCTATAAATATATGCATCAAAATACAGACATGTTAGACTTTTGGAATATTTATAAAGTTTACAACATGATGGTTGTTTACTGTGGCTAACGGGGTGGTATATAACACATTACAATATATTTTGATACTAAAAGCCAGATGGTATGTGTGATGTTTTTTAAAGACTCAATTTCATTGGAAAACTAGATAGCCTAGAAACCTAGACATTAACCTAAGCAAAATCATTCTGCTCTGCAGGCCAATCTAGCCACGTTCCATCAGAGCCTCAGCAGGCCAGGCCAACCTTTTGGCTTGCCAATCACAGCACTCTGTCGGTTTGTTGGGCCAATTACAGCACTCACATCCGTTTCATAGTGGGGTGTTACTGCGACTGGGAGAAACAAAAATGTTGATGGCTCGTTTGAAACAGCTTTGGCATCAACTTGAAACTATTTAGACATGGGCTTTTCTTTGAGTCATGAACAGATAAAAGACCTGTATGTCATGTCATGTTTGTTGTCCAACAGCATGCAGAGACAGTTTTAAAGACAGCCGCAGATTCTGCCCCATGACTGAGCTTGGTCTACAGGTTGTGAATATATAGGAAGGCTTGCCAGGCTACAGGCTAGACACTTCCAAAACACATCCAAAGCAGTTTTAATGTCATTGATGAAATATGAAGTTTTTTACTTCTTTTCATGATGAATAAAGCTTTGCAGACCGAAATGAAACAAAAACAATTTGTAAAAACTAAACTATGACTAATATTGATCTAAATTTTCATCCGTGAATAAAAGAGGACAATGTGACAAACAGACAAAACAACCAATCAACAAATGGAACAGGTAGTGCTAGACCAGAAAACCAAGCAAGAGTCCCGAACCCGCAGCTGTTTGAGCAAGCTGCCGGTAACAGTTCAACAGTTTGTCTCTAAAAGCAGAAAATGTCAATGGCTGGGAGGAAAAGCATAAAATGCAACAATCTGAAAGGTGTTTGCTTGGTGAGTACACATCCGGGGTTTCCCCTGGATTTAAAAGTAGTAGCAATGAGCGGGGTCAGGTGAGGACAGAGGGGAGCATGTTGCTGCAACCAAACTAAACTGGTGGAGCAGCACATCTGGTTGATTTTTCATTTATTACTTTGTGGCGCTGCTGTGGCTGATATCATCAGTGTTCAGCATTCTAGCGATGTTGCGATGAAAAAACATTCAGTCAAACAGTTTGGCTAATTTGTGCAGGGAAATAAATACATTTGAAAATAATTCTTACTTAATTCTTATTTCACCTCCTTGCAATTTTAAAATATTTTAATGTTTTGATGGTATGATGTCATTTCCTGTAATGTTTACAAATATTATTGCACATTATACAGATTTGTTGATTTTATTTCAAACTGTCAGTGTGAATTTATTGATCCAATTGTGAATTTTTCACATTACTTTGCAGGGATTCCCTAAGTGTGGTGCGCGTGAAAAGTGTAATGGCTGAGGAGCTCAGAGAAGTCTGTCATAGGTCACCATTAGCGCAGCCAGAAACTCATTTGTGGGTGGGCCTAAGAAAAAGTAAGTGGGCCCAATAAATGCAATTGAAAACAAGTATATTTTGCTTGTGTGTGTGTGTGTGTGTGTGTGTGTGTGTGTGTGTGTGTGTGTGCATGTGTGTGTGTGTGTGTGTCCTCCGCATGTGCCCTATTCATAATAATAATGCGCTCCGAGCTTCAGCACTCTGACCTGCGCACGCTGTCAATAGCAAGATATGTTCCGTATTTGATCATTTTTAACGGTGTTGGAGAAATCTGAAGGTGGTGAGTCATTCTGGCAGATTGTAATTAACACCCTGTCTCATGCAGGTGTTCTGACATTGTAAACGTCACACACAGAACATTGTGGATGTAACTAAATAAATCAAGAAATGATTCCCATCTGAGCATTTTAGCATTATTATATTATTATATTAGCACACTGACTGTGGGACAGCATTCTAAACGTGTCAGGCTATTAACAGCGTGCTGAAGATCTGAAGTTCAGAGTGCGTCTGTCAGAGGTCAGACGCGTTCCAGCGGAACCACAGCTCACGGGTGCACAAGAGAGCACATCTGGGCTGGGCAGAAGTAATTTTACAACATTGGTTTAAATAGCGCCAATAACGAGACGCGGTGTCTGGAGCGGCTCATGGAGCTGTGCCGCACACACACACACACACACACACACACACACACACACACACACACTGATTCAACAAGTGCACGCTGCGCTGTGCCGTCAGACTGAAGACAGAAATGAGCGCTGCCTCCTCTGTGATAAAAACTTTTAAGAGGTTTTATAACAACATTTTTCATTCAAGGTCATATTAAGATATCAGCTTCTATTTTGGGATGACGTATTAAAGTTGAGTCCGCTCCAGCCAGTGACTCCGAACCAGACCACAACTCCCGTTACTGCAGCATTTGTTATTCCAGTCCGCGTGGCAGCGGATCGCAGATTCAGCCACACCATAAAACAGAAATAAGTTGGTCTGAGGCAAAAGTGAACCTCATGGCTATGTCTTTTCCATATTTCCCCTATAGACATTTGATTACGCACAAGTAGGTGATCAGTTCAGGTTTACGCAGAGCAGAAGGAAGGAAAGAGCTCTGGTTAAACGTTCCTGCTTTAAGAAAACCGTTAAATTGCATTGTTTATGTGCTACCTGGGCACTCTAAATATTGATTTAAAATTACATCAAAGGAAATTGTAATGGTATTGAATGTTTATTAATTACAATTTCAAAAATGCATAAAACATAAACATAAAAATGAAAGTGATGGGGGAAAATGCAGATCATATTTTTTTAACCCTGTCTGTCGAGTGACTGTTTAGCATGATGTCTGATATATATATATATATATATATATATATATATATATATATATATATATATATATATATATATATATATATATATATATATATACAGCCATGCCCTGATGTGGGGGCTGGGGGGTGCGTCGACATGGTCGGGACATAGAAGGGGGTGCGCGGCTAAATACGTTTGGGAACCACTGCTTTACAGTTTCAAGTACGTGTAACATGTTTTTTAAAGAAGGTGAAAATTATTGCATCAAAAGAAACATACTAAAGGAGATTTTTATTTTAGAATCAAACATGCAGAAAAAAGCAGTCTCTAACCCTACTGTCACCTTTACTCGTTATTTCATTATTCCATAAACTACTATTACGTAATAGCCTGGTAGTAACAGGTTAATAAATCAATAGGGCGTGTCTGTTGTATACAAAAAAGGTCAAAGAATAAATATATAAATGAACGTTTCACAGGAAAATAAAACTTACCTTGACAAAGGGTAAAGACACAGTAGGCAAAGAAATATCGAAGAGCCATTTTGAGTCTCTATAAATAAACTTTCACTTTGTGACTTCAGGAAAAACACTGTTGATTTACTAAAGGAGAGGTCAGGTTACGGACCGGAAAGTCAAAGAAAAAGAAAGCATCTCTTCTAAATAAATAAGTCAGAAGGTGATTTTGTCTTTAATTAAAATGTCCTGACCCTGAACTCGAGCTGAAACAGCATGAGCTGAATGGAACAACCTGCAAGAGCTGCTGTTAGTTTAAGATAGGAGCTCACCTGTACACCTGAGCATCCGGAAAGTTACCTTTCACAATAAAAGGTACACACCTTGTAAATAATTATCTTTGCTAATCTGGTTTTGCTCAAGAAATGCTTGTTTAAAAATAATATAGGCCCGTACTTACTATAGCATTTCAACAAGGTGAGGAAATTAATAAACCATGATAATGCATTTTCATAAAATGTGTGTTAAGGATTTGAAAACCACGTCATCCTGTCTGAAAAATGATTTACTTTTATTTTGAAAATATACCAAACGTTGACCTAAATTCTTACCTTCTTTCTTGTGTCTGAAGAATGAAAGAGTTTCGGCTGAGTAAAAGAGTAGATTTAGTCTATTTTCATTTGTTTTAGAACCATCTTAGTTTAAATCAGATCAAACATTAAAATTAAAAATTTGAATTAGAAAATTTTCAAAAATTCTAAAAGTTTTGTTCAACAAAAATCAAAATTTTAAAGTGCGTAGTGTTCATGTAAAAATGCAAATTCCTTGTAATAGTCTTTCTTTGAGAGAGGCCTGTGTCATTGGCCCTCTGATGGGGGTGTTATCCTAAGAATGTGTGTGTAGGACTTCATGAGGGTCACACTGCCGTGGTGAGACACTCCCATTGGTAAAACACACTCCTCCGTCAACACCGCTCCCTCAACGTCCCAGCACATCACTGTGGAGATGACTTGGTTCTTGTTATCTCTTCCCCCTGTGATAAAAATTTTATTGTTGCAGGCGGCGATGGCACAGCTCGCCCTCTCCCCCAGCTGGGCCACAAGGGTCCAGGAGTCGGACAAGGGGGCGTAGCAGTACATGGCGTGCATGGCACCACCTGAAAACACAGAATTTAATAACTGCATTAATTTAAAATAAAAATGTCCTCTAATGTACTGAAATATTGCAGTTTCAACATGTTTTCCTATAAACTGATGAAGTAAATGCAACTTTTGAGGGATTAAATGGTGTCATAATGAGGGGTTACAAAATCATTGCACATTTTGAGTAAATTTTAAATATTTTATTTATAACTGAGATTTTAAGTTCCTTCCATCTTACCAACTATATAGATGCGGTCCTTGAAGGTTACAGCATTAGTGCATTTCGTCTCAATGGGGATCGGAGCCCTCATTTCCCAGCTGTCTGTCCCTGGTTCCCAGCGCTGAACTTTATCAGTGGCTAGTTTTCCATTGGGACCTCCACCAATCACAAAAATCCACCTGTCAAAGCTTGCTGCTGCAAACGAGCTCACACCCATAGCAAGAGGAGTCACCTGGGGCAAGAACATTCAAAAAAGCCTGAAACAATCTGAGTCAAACGGAAAAAAGAGGGTAAGACAGCAAACTCAAAGAGAGAATGGTACCTGCGTCCAGCGGTTGTGAAACGGATCATACGCCTCCACACTGGAAAGTCTTTGAACTCCATCAAATCCTCCCAGTGCATACACCTTCCCACCATGAGCTGCCATCTTGTGTCTCCAGCGTGCGTTTCCCAGTGACTCTATTTGGATCCATTTATCCAGAGCGCCGTTATATTTCCAAACGTCACGCTGTGTATCTTTACCTCCTGCAAGATCGTTTGGAAAAAAACATTCTGAGTCGCCGATGCATCATGAAGTACTTTATCCTGAAGCGACCCTGCTGCTTTGCATTGAACCATGGTGGTACTGCTCTGATGCAGAATCTCATGACCTGTTCTCTACTTTTACTGTGTGCATCGTCCTGAGCCGTTGAAGTCAGCACGCCTGAGGTTTCAGTTCCTGGGTGGGAAACACCCTAAACCACAGTTGTTGATGCAGATAACTTCAGCTCTTCCTGTTTTTTGCTCACTTGTATTTTCTGATCTTTGTGCAGCTTTGATTTGACAGAAACCCAGCAGGTGTTAAATCACCAAACGGTGAATGAATTTCACTCTCAGTCTAAGAACGACCCTCACCTGATATGTATACTTCGTTGTGGAAAGTGATGCAAGAAAACTCCACCCATTTTTTACTATGGGTTTCGTCCTCAATCTCTGTCATCGGCAGCCGGGCCACCTCCAGCCTGCTGCGTCTCAGAGGGTCCAGACATGTGACGGTGGGAACAAAACGCTCATCTTTGGTGCAGCCGCCGATGATGAGGAAGACTTCTGATAAAAAGTGCTGCTCACGAGGTTTGGTCCGCTCAGAGACCACCTTCAAACAGGTCCGCGAGAGAGAGAAATGTGTGAAAAAAGATGATTTAAATATATAAGTCAGATTATTTAAAGCGAAGTGAAAAGGTTATTTTTTCATCAGCATCTTGCCTGTTATAGATAATTCTTTGAATAGCCTCTGTTTGGAGAAATAGTTTATTTCTGACTGGGTTGATACCCGGCCTTTCCACCGGACACGTAAGTGTCGCGTAACGTTTGCAAAACGTAGTACGCAGCGGGTGAGTGCATTTCCACCGGCTGTGAAGCGTTGCATTTTGGAAGCGTTCCAGAAGTTAGGAACGCGTTGCTTACATTTCAGCCTCCTTTCCAACGAACGCGAAAGTGGCATGTAACAAAATAGTGATGTTTTACCCGCGAGCAAACTTTCAACTGTGAGACAGCAAGTGGGAGAAAAATCATTCCACGCCGCTGATCCCACAAAGTCATAATATCACAGGAGAACTGCAACACCACGTGCGATTTCAGAAGTCCACACAATAACAAGCAAGGAGAAAAACAGCTGAGTGTATCCTAAAAGGTCTGCGATTTATTTTCTGTTCTGTTTACATTGGCTACGGAGATTTTACAGGAAACAACGTACACTTATCAGCATGTGTCTTTTATTTTGAAAGTTTCTGGATGCTTTACACTGATTTCGTGTTCGACTTCCTGACTGGCTCGATCTAAACTGTGGAGTTTGATGTATTTTGGAAGCGTAGCACATAATAAATAGACTCTAAATATGATATAGCATTCCTGTTGAGACTCATTCAAAACATTAAACTTACAGTAGCTGTCGGTGGCAGCTAAAAGTCACAAAGTGCGTTTCGCGGCTGCTTCGTGATGGTTACATGCCCGGTGGAAAGGAGGCTTTCAACTCTATTTTTTATGCTTTCAGAAGGCGTCAAGCTCAGCGGCTCAGATCAGGCCAGACAGGGAGTCAAACTTTCAAATAAAAACCACAATCAGATTTCTAGATGATTGACTTCTAAATAAAAAGTGCATAATTTCCATTGAAACCTGTGTAGCTGAGGTAAACAGAACAAAAAAATAAACCACCGACCTTTTTGGATACATGCTGCCATTTTTTTCCTTGCTTGTTATCATGTGATGTGATGAAATCCCGCGTGATCTTGAAATTCTCTCGTGATTTTGTGACCATGTCAGTGGAATGCTTTCGCTGCTGTCTGAAACGCTCCCAGTGGAAAAGGAGCTTGTGGGTAAAACGTGTCTATTACGTTATGTCCCACTTACACATCCAGTGGAAGGGTCAGATGAGGGTCAAAGGGGATTTTTGTTGCCTTAAAACAACTTCAGTGCTAATTTCTACCACCACCAGTTTTATATGACACTGTTATTTTTGCAGAAACATTACATTTCTGAAGGAATTCTGTGTAAATTGTAAATAACTTTTGGCCTATTCATCTGGTCAGAATCTTCCTCCATTTCTCCAAGCTGAGGTCATTCAAACATCAGTCAAGAAGAGGTAAAGTACTGACGGTCTATGACCTCATTCAAAAGATCTGAACTGACACTAACCTCCCTGCCAGAGAGGTGGAACAGGCGGGCCTCTTGCAGCAGAGAAAAGGCATCACTGCAGTGTCGTATCAGCTCGTCTGACTCCACCTTCTCCACAAAATATGCCGGCTCCAACAGAGGCAGCCGCACGTGTGAGAGCAGCCTGACCAGTAACGATGATCGATCCTGCCGGGCTCTCAACCAGCGCATCACTGCTTCAAAAACACACTCCTCACACTTCACCTCCAGGTCATCCCTCTGCAGGATGGCCTCCAGAGACTCCGCTGGAAGCTCCAGGAAGTCCTGCTGCTGGAGCACCTGAGAGAACTGAGACGCGATGAAGTCCTGAGCTCGTGTCTTCAGGGCTGGAAGAGCGTGGCTGTCGGCCAGGTTCAGGATTCCCACACAGCTCTCCAGATGAATGGACCTGCTCAGGAAGCTGGCGCATGCGTCCACCACTCGCAGGAACTGAAAAGAAAAGATAAAATACTTTAAAACTGATTAAATCGATTTAACTTCTACTTTATTATTAAATCAGGAAAGTTTTTATTGATTTTAAAGAAGAAAATAGCCTGATGCAACCTCTAGAATGTGATGCAAGCAGCTTTTAAAACAGCGCTGATGTTAGAAATGATCTTTCAAATAGCCTGATTAAATGAATGCCATGCTCAGAATCTCCAGAGGGTTAAGTGAGCTTGTTATGCTTTTGTAATGGAATGAAATGACTGTTTTCCACCAAAAGTCATTTTCCCCTCTCCTCTGACACAGAACTAGTCTGCATGAGATATGGCCTCAAGGTCTCATGCATTTGCTGTAAACTGCTTCTTTCCAGCTCAAGAGAAGAATGAAGAAAGGACTCTCTCCTTTTAATAAATCAAAGAACTCTAATCAAACAAAGTGTTAGTCAATAATAAGATGTGACCAATTTGTGAAATCAAAATATTAATTACTTTATTATAATCCTATAGAATATGATAAGTAATATGACTTTAAATGTTTCCACTGGGACTGATCTCACGTAGCGTTGAGAGATGACACATTGCTTTTACTGATCCAATCAGAATCTGCCAGATCTGACGGAGGCGTGGTTTTGGTGGTGCTTGGTGTCATCTTTTTATTCGACCATAAACCAAAACATCTGAAGTAAAAAAAACTATGCCCACGTCATCTTTAACGCCAGTTCAAAGCGTTCTAGAGAAGTTGTCAGAGTGGCCAATCCGTAACTTTCCTCTTCAGTCAAAAGAACCAACGACAAGCTGGATAAAATCTGTTGCTGCTCCAACTGCTGCAACGGTTCCTTTCAGAATAAAAGCGGAACCATCACGACCCAGGTTTGGGTCTCGCTAGGCGTCAACAAAACTGTCGTGACCCGGAAGTATCTCAAAGACTGGTCTGGTCGGCAACCGCTGCTTTTCCTACCGGCTTTGGTTCCAGGGAGGGTCCAGCTGGACCTCGACATTCCTGATCTAACGGGGACTTCCAAAAAGGTACGTAGGCCGACGGAATGACGTTGAATATGTTTATGAATCTCCTAACTAAAGCTTAGCGTGAAGACATTACCTTCACTTCCCACTAACTCATTACACTTTTGAGCGTTCACAACAAACCACTGAGTTTCTGTTCTCTGATGCCCACTGATTCACTTTTCCCCAACAGGGTTTGAGACGGTGATTCATCACATCATGGAACACGTGTTTTTGACTAATCAGTCCATTTTAAAGAGGATTCAGAGGCAGCCGCGTTTCTGGATCATTCATTGATGTATTTTTGATGATTTAGTTTATAGATTAAAGACCAAATTATGTCAGATTTTTAAATGCTCCTGAGTCTCACAGTTCTGGTTCTTGTTTTCTATGAAGATAAAAGTAGCACAATAAGGATACAATTGTTACGTTACTTTTTATTCATTGTTAAGCATTAATAAACAAAGGGTCCCTTTACTAACATGTTGTTAACTACTAAGTTTTCTAAGTACCAAGGGCTGGGGTCCACTTAGTAATGCTTTAAATAATATGATTAAGCAGTTGTTAAAACTTTATTTAATAGTTTTGATGCATAAAGTAACCAGAGGTGTGGACTTGAGTCACATGACTTAGACTCAAGTCAGACTTGAGTCATTATTTTAATGACTTCTGGCTTGACTTGATAAAATCTATAAAGACTTAGGACTTGACTCTGACTTGAACGGCAATGACTTGCAACTTGAATCGACTTGCATCTGTTGACTTGATGATGACTTGAGCATATTTGATATTTTAGCACAAAAGTGGCCTGACATGGACAAAAATCATAAATCATTCTTGGTTCTGGGTGTGATCTTTTACCGCTAAATGCAGCAGCTCTTTGTTTATAATCAGTTTCAGTTGCATTTTCTGCTTGTTTGAGCAAATAAATGAAGCTTTAAGAAGCTTTATTTCTGGAATTTATTTATTGTCATTGTCATTAGACTGAAGTTGGACTGATGACTTGATTATGACTCGAAAATTTTGTCCATGTCATGCCACTTTTGTGCTAAAATATCAAATATGCTCAAGTCACCATCAAGTCAACAAATGTAAGTCGATTCAAGTCGCAAGTCATTGGCGTTCAAGTCAGAGTCAAGTCCTAAGTCTTTATAGATTTTATCAAGTCAAGTCAGAAGTCATTCAAATAATGACTTGAGTCTGACTTGAGTCCAAGTCAAGTGACTCGAGTCCACACTTCTTTTCAAAGTAAAGCAATTGGACTTGACTTGGGCATCCACATCATTGACTTTGGACTCGACTTGGACTTGGTTGTCTTTGAGTTGGGCTTGACTCGAGACTTGACTGGAAAGACTTGTGACTTACTTGTGACTTGCAAAGCAGTGACTTGGCCACACCTCTGAAAGTAACATTAACAAAGGAACCCTTATTAAAAAGTGTTATTGAAATAACATTTTTGGTTTCTGGTTTTATCTTTTATGCTGTTTGGGATCGTTTCCGGTGAAGGGTTTTCAGGTTTTCAGCACGTTACCTGCTATCTTTAAAGATCTGGTTGATGACGATAAAATGTCATGGTCTGAGGTGAGTGGTTCATTCATGACCTCTGAGTGCTTAATTGCAGATGAATTGCACTGAGGAGCGGGCAGCTGCAGCCAATCTGTCATCTACCAGGTGGTGTATAAAAGGAGCAGGGAGACGACGTCACCTCGCCGAATGATTGCTCACTTTGGTACACTCCAACCTGAGATCTTAAGCCAACTCTCGAGTTTTAGAAATCTTCGCACTTTTCTTGAGCTTTAGCGTATTTGTAATTCCTGTTCCTGCTGTGTTGAGTTTCAAATTCCATCTTTCAGTTCTTTTGATGGAGTTTACTCGTTGGATGGTGCATGGGACTGCATCATCGGAGAGGGGAGAGCGGGCAGCAGAGGGCGACAACGTCCTCTGCTGCCCACGGATAAACGAAGGAAGTGACGCCATCGGCGTCAGCCTGATGTTTGCAGCCGCAAACGAAACATTGTATGTAAATAAAGCCTACTGGTTGTGCAGCACCAGGCTAAAGACCAAAGGTGACAGATCATCTGCTGCTGTGGCCCCCAGACTCTGGAACTCTCTCCCCCTGAGCCTGAGATCAGTGGACTCAGTGGTCTCCTTTAAAAAGCAGCTGAAGACTCACTTGTTCAATCTGGCTTTTGTATGACCTTCTTCACCACTCTCTCTTTATTCTGCCCTCCCCACCTATTCCACCTTCCTCAGGATCCACTGATTTCCCTCTTTCCTGTTCACTCTCTCTCTTTCTTAACATTTTTTTAATCACAATTGTCTATTTTTGCTCATTTTAAATATAGTTTTAAACATTTTCTAAATGCTTTTATATTTTTACATTTTTTGTTTTTGTGAAGTGCCTCGTGATTTTTATCTTGAGAGGCGTTATAGAAATGATACTTTCTTCTTCTTCTTCAAAGCTTTTTCTGTGTTTTAAAAAGAACTGAAAGATGGAATTCCTGTTCCTTTTCTTCAGATATCCTCGTCATCACCACTTTGTCAGCCATAAACCACGGATCATCTCACTGGACCACATCTCCCCGCTCAACCTGACCGACCCGCTCTCAGCTACTCACCCTGCACTCACCCTCGCTCATCTGGATTCCCCTCTCGAGCTCGACCCTCAACTCAGGCCTGACCACCCTCCTCGTCTTCCACTAATCCCCGATCAACCTCCACACTTCCACCTCACTCGGACCCCCGCCTTACCTTGACAGCGCTCCTTCAGTTACCCTTTTTCTAATAAATATTGTTTATTACTTTCATCCAGTCTCCACGTATGGTTCTGAATGTCCTGGGTCAGGAAACTAAACCAGAACATGACATGAAAAGCTCAACAAGTTACATTCAGCAGAGATTTACTTTTCTGTGAAGATGAAAAAGAAGCTGCATTATTAGGAGTTTACATTTATATCAGTAGATATTGAGTGGCTTTATTTAATTTTTGAGGAATTAGTTTTAACTGTTAAGTGAAAAAGAGGAAGAAAAATCGTGTTCAGACTCAATTTCATGACTGTAAACTATGCATGGAAAATGTAAATCGGCATCAATATCGGTATCGGTCGATGTTGGTCATTTTTTAACATATCGGTATTGGTCCAATAAATAAAACCTGGCTGATGTTAACAGATATTTTATCCATCTCATCTCCATTTGTTTGCCTGCTTCAGAGGGCGAGGGGGGTGATGTGTAATTGTTTAGTCATGTGAACAGTGAATGAAATCATCTCAGGACTGTAAATGTGTGTGGTGTGTGTGCATAACGTAAATTCAGCTTTAATAATTTTCATTTTATACAAAATCTGCTGATTTTAGAATCATTAATGTCAGTATCGGTTATCGGCCATAGCAGTGATCGTAATATCGGACATCGGTATCAAAATTTCATATCGTTGCATCACTACTGTAAACATTAAATGAACTTACAGACTGAGCTGTAAACAACATCCAGCTGTTATTTAAAGACAGATGTTTTTTTATTTTATCATTAAAAAGTGTTTTTAATTGATTCATAATGAAGAATATTTTCATGACCTCATCTAAATAGTTCATGCGCTGAGATTCACATTTGCTTTAAGGTGGTGTGTACATTTGTACTTTTGAAATCATGCTTGTTTTTATTACTTCTATTGGTCCTAAAACAAAAACCTTGTGTGTTACCTGAAAATCAGTTTCTAGTTTTAAACATCACTGATAAAATGTTCAAATTGACCAAGTTGTCAAATTTCAGAATATTTGATTGAATAAAGAAATGATTAGTTAGTTATTAGTGAGATCCTCGGGGCTTTCTTTTATATTAAAAAGGAGATGTGTGTTAGTTTTATATGCGTTGTCCCAATAATAAACAAATAGAGGAGTGTAGAAAACGCTAAAAAGTTTTTACTTCAGTTAGAAGTACTTTTGCATAATTTCTATTTACATATTTTAAGTCACATATTCAGTGAAGTTTATGATCCAACACTGACTCCTGAGAATTTAGCTTCATGACTTTCCCCAAAGGGATGTTGTCTGGATGCTGGTGTAAACCGAGATAAAAGGCTCTAAAATAAAACGCTGAGTTCCTTCTTGTTGATTAAGAAACAGCACAGCTGTTCATCTTCAGGATCCAACAAACAAACATCTCTGCAGAAACAGAAGCTCAAGCAGACGAACACCTGACTCGTCCGTTGTGTGTCACAGCTGTAAGTTAGGCCTCTATGGAAAACTGATCCTGAGTGTAAACAACTAGCCGTCTTTCACTTCCCTCTTAGAGTAATTTACTTCCACATCGCTGCATGTTTGTTCCTCTAAATAGATTAAAAATAAATGTGAAGTGAAAAAATATTAAATAAAAAAAGTTTAATTCAAATTCATGAGAAAAGTTTAACTTTTGTGATTTAGCTGCAGATGGATGATTATGATAAGTTTAATTCTATCAGTCTGACTGGAAATAACACAACTGTTTGCTAAAACAACGTTTTCAGTTTTCTGGATGCTAAACGAGAAAAGATTAGTGTGGAAAAAGTGCTCAGAGTAGACAGGAAACTCTGCAAAGTTCAGCAAAGTAAACGTGTGTGAGGTTTTCGGCTGTTTTACCTGAAACTGATTGGCGGCCTCGAGAATTTTCTGGACGTTTGAGTGTGTGAGGAGCGCTCGGCTGGTGTACGTGTACTCCAAGAGAGAGTGCATCGTCCCGCTGTCCAACCCTTTCATCTCCACACGCTTCTCATGGCTTTCCCTTAGGCCGCTGCAGAACATGGCCCTGTAAGGAAATGTATCATTAAAATATAAAAAGCAGATAAATTCCAACACAGTGGTAAAAAGTGGGAATGTTTACCTGAAATATTGACTGGCGGCAGCGAGAATGGCTCTGTGGCAGGGGAAGTCGTGTCCCTGAACACTCAGGGTCACGTCGGTCAGCTCTCCGTTCACTCTCATGGTCTCCATCCCTCTCTGCAGCTCCACTGGTAGACCGCCATCCTGCCAGCAAAGCTCGCCGGCGCCTGTTGCATTTTCCTTCTCCTCACTCAGACCGGACTCATCTCCGAGAGACGACAAGGGACAGTCTGTTGTCCTCTCCAGCGAGTCACTCATGTTTACAAAAACTAGTTCACAAGCTTAGTTTCCACTGGAGGAAAGCAGGCCGCTGCTTCAGACGCACCTGCAGCGGCACCGAGACAGAAAACAACTCTGTGGTTCACACTCACAGCAGATCTGAGGCTTTGAAATGAGGATTTGTTTTTTTCCCTCGTCATACTTCCTATTCCTGTTCTGAGGACTATGCTTAACTGAAGCAATGCTTGTTTCTTAACACTTCCTCCTCTTGTGCTGAGTGAATTTCCCCTAAGTTAACACTATTTTCCTCTTTTCTGAGAAACGCTGATGCCATGTCTCCTGCAGCAGACCTCAGCTAAGTGAGATAGCAGTAAACACAACCACTTGACAGCGTAACCCAGACGGAATGGATGCGTTTTATCTCGCGTTGTTAACAACCTCTTTTGTTCAAGTGTAACTTCACTATGTTCAAAGCTGAGAAGCAGGCTGACTCGCTGGAGGCAAACTGTTTACTCCTCTAGGTGATCTCCTGATGTTGAACATTTGAGCAAAAATCTCAGTTCTTTAAAGTTATTTTGACCTGTCGGTTCAGAGCTGGGCTGCCTGTGTCTGTGTGGAGCAGGTTTAAGGTTCAGGTTCTCTGAAATAGTGTCAGTTTGATGGATTTATCCATCAAAATGGTGACATTGTATCTAAAACTGTGTAGTCCATTGCACTTTGTTATGATATTTTCCACAAAACTGCTAAAATGTCATGGTAAGATGACTTTTTTGTGATTTTTATGTAAGATTATTTTAAATAAAAGGTGCAAAATAGAATAAAAATTTGTATTAGTATTTTAAGTCTTGGCTGTATTTTAAAGCTGCTATAGCAAATTTAGAAAACTAATAGGTTAAAATATTTTTCATGCCTTTTACCAACATCCTAACATAGTATAGCTATAAATATATTGTGGAGATTAAAAATAAAACAAAAAAAGAATAAAGTGGTTCTCTCTCTAAAAACCTCAATAACACGTTTCGAACCAAAAGCAACTATTGGACCATCCGGTTGTCAGTCTTGTAAAACTACCCTGGGTCCTCCATTCATCACACACTCACGTATTTAGCAGCAGAACACCACTGGCGTGAGAAGTTCTCTGCTCAGTCATATCAGAGAAGGAGAAACAGCCGGCTGCTACCACTTCAACTTTAGGACAAGCTACCAGAGTCCCAAAAAATAAAACACCATTTTAAGCCATAAACAACAAAAGAGGTTTGGACCAAGAAAACTGCGTCTGGTGTTTAGCACTGCGTCGTTTCGTCTGGCATCGTGGGTTTCTGGTTCTGGCAAAGGCGTTTCAGCGAAGATGTGTTCAAAGCCTAGCCAGATTTAAATTCTGCAATTATAATTTCAGTAGCTGCACAATTAAAACAAATAAAAAAGATCAACATTTTAAAATATGCTACTTCACTCATAGGTGGAGATAAATGTCTTGTATATATCTAAATTAATCCATGTTATGACCTGGCTCGTTGGGCTATAACAGAAGGAGAGACACACCATGTGAAAGTCAATAAAATACAACTTATTTCATTGAGATACACCTGAAGTAACCTGTAAACAGCAAGAAGGTGCAAACTGAATACAGGTGTGGCAGCATCCCTGTGGGGAGGGCGGAGCGATTAGCCCTGATCAGCCACAGAATGACCTTCAGGGTCACAGCAATCCAGAGAGGACATTCATTGATTTATTTTTGCGCATGTGTGAGTGTGTTTAGTGAAATTTCTCATGCGCAATAAAAATCCCCCTTGAAAGCTGGAGAAATACCTTAAAAATTGCGTCTTTTGTCACAGATTAGCTTCATTAATTTCAACTCACACTTTCATCCTAGCATGAACTCCCCTTTCTCATTTTGCTTTGTTCCTTTATTGTTCCACTAAATGTGTGTTCTGTCAATTGTTTGCATCTATAGCTTAAAAAAATAACACTTTAGCTGCATTTTTGAGTGAATTTCCCCTGGGATTCAGTGTCTTATCACTCTATTGTCACATCCTTCCTGTCTCAAACACCTCTGACAGATAAACAGGAGACAGACTCGTAGTTAACAGTCTGTCACCTGTGATCTGTATTTATGTACAGATGAGACTAACTCCACTCACTAGAGCTTCAATTCCCACTTCCGCAACTCTCCACTAGATGACAGTATCACCATGGAGACAAGCATCACTGATTAAATGCACTTTTGAGTCCAGACTTTAACTATTTGCTGAAAAATAGGTCAAACTAAGCGGTCTCCTAGCAACCCAATTCGACCTCTCGCCCTCTCCTTGTCTGTGTGACTCTATTTGAAATATGGTGCAATATTTTCAATTGCGTCAGTCATGAAATTGATAAAAGAAGGAGCCTAAAACATTCAGAACCACTCAGACCTGGAGGGACACCACCGTGTTTGACCCAGTAGCATCACCTCACCTCATTTAAAGGATGCTTGATGTAAAAACGCCTCCCACAGCTCCACTTACTACATTTTCCAACCACATAGATTAAATGTCAGTCTAGCACGGAACAAGCTCCTTTTGTAGCTTAAGCTCTGTTTTCCCACTTGCGCATGTTCGCTTTTTTCCTTTTTTTTAACCAACACAGATTTGAATGCAGGAAATATAATAGACTTCCTCTTACTCAATACCTTGTACGGGAAGCTTAAACCACGTAGATCAGTTTAAACAGGCACAGACAGGGTGGTGAGACTATGAGAGGAAGGTGTTCTGTCTGAGTGGAGTTCACCATGAAGAGTTCCCTTTTATCCCTGTGCAGGCCCACTTTACTCATGTGGATGGGTTTTCTTCTACGCTGTGGTAAGTAGGACACTAAATCATTCCTCCTTCATTCTTAAATACTTTCTAAAACATGTGATTTGGTTATTTTTACTACAAACGAGAGCCAGTTTATGATGAAATTTGACACGTTCGAGTGTTTAGTAGCATAATGCGAATTTCTTTTAATGAGCCTTCTGTTTCTTGATTAAAACTAATAATAACAAAGACAAAACGGCTCAAATATTTGATTTGCTTCTGATTTAATGAACAGTTAGGCCCTCAGAGGGGTCCATGGTTAATCACACAACATTTTCATTTTTAATAACTCGATGCAGTCAAACAACGAACTCTGACTTACTTTCACTGGTGTGCAGGAGCTGCAGGTACAAGCTTGTTTACAGCGAGTCATGCTCACACACAAGAGGAATTTTCAAGCTGCAACAGTAATAAATAAAATAAAAAAGCAACACAGAGATAGTAGCTGCAGCATGCCCAGCTGAGAGATAAAAGGAAAAGGTCGTTGGGTGAAGCAAAGAGTTCATAAGTCTCACTGCCTCTGGGAGACGGCTGCTTTTGAGACAGTTTGGTCTCATTTTCATGCTTTTTGGCTTCCCACCTCAAGGTGAAATTGTTCATATGCAGGATGGTAGGTGTCCTTTATGATGCAGAATGCTCTCCTCCAGTACCTACTGGTGTAGGTATGCTCAATAAAAAGGGAGTTATTTTTTGGTGCATGTAATCACCCTCTGCAGTGCACTCCTGTCAGCAGCATAGTGCTAAGTAATGATGGAGGGGGTGATTGTACTCACTTTTCACCACGCATGGGTAAAATGCTGTCAAAAACCAGGATGCTGAGTCTGCTTCAGAGAGGTAACGCAGAGTCTGGGTGGGCCTTGTTTATGGTGCGGCTGTGGTTGTCATCCATAGGAAGTTGTGAATACTAGAAACCGTTCTTTCATCTGTTGTGTTTGAATCATGAATCTTTCTGCTGCATGGTGGTACAGTGGGGTGACAGGTTCAAATCCCAGCTGCAGATTTTCTGTGCATGGTTGCATGAGTGTTTTTTCTCCATTTAATATGTTATTCTTCCACAAGTCAGAAACATGCATTATTCAATTTAAATTATAAATTAAAAGGATATGCAAAACTACTAAGCATAAAGTCTTTATTCAAGAATCACAACATAGACATGTTATTAAACTGCATGGCTGCTCGAGATTTAGCCAAGTGGTCACATGGCAGGAACAGTACAGCAAGCTGATAAGGAAAACATTTTTGGGGATGAAGATTAAGCATCAGTACATCTTCCAAGTTACAGTTTTAATCCAAGCGGAGGGGATGTATTGACCCAGAGTGTGTGGAATAACTTAATGAGGCAGAAATAAAACAGCAGGCCTTTATGAGTAGGGCCACCTTTCTTTTAGTTTTCTGGATGATTCTAGATAATCCCATTAGGCTGGGGACTTGCCCAGGATTTAAACATTGGTAAAAGAATAAAGTTTCTGTATGCTTCTGCTAAAATGCTGACAGTGAGACAGAGTGACAGTTTGTGGCTGTAGGAGGGAGTCAAAAGCAGGCAGACAGACAAGAGAGTAGGTTCTAGACAAACTTTAATGACTTGGACGGAGACTCAAAAGTGTGAACATGTCAAAAACTAACTCAGAAAAACTGAGGTTGTGACAATAGGTGAATGAAAGACGAATGAAAGGTGAACTAGTTAGTAATTAAGAGCTGGTAGGATATTACCATTACAAGGATCAAACTAAACTAGCAAAAAACAACCTGGAAGTGAGATTCTTAGTCCAAACAAAACAAACTAAAAGACAATGACAACAAATTACAGAATTCAGCTGACTTCCTGGTTTCTGTTTTTCTGCTTTTCTCTCAGCAGATGCTAGCGTAAACACCGAAATACAGACCGGGCCTCTGTATCGTGCTGAGGGCTCCCGGCTCTCCATCTCCTGCAATGTGAGTGGCTTCAAGAGTGAGGAGACTCCAAAAATATTTGATTTCCGTGTGACGAAGCCATCCCGCCCTAATGAGTTGAACATCATCAGCAGCGGTGACAAAGACTTTTCATACTCCATCTATCTCGACCGCGTGAGGGACGGGGATATTTCTGTAAAGTATGTGGATCCAAACTCGGCCATCTTTGAGATAGAAAGTCTGCTCAAAGACGATGGAGGGGAGTACGATTGTACCGTACGAGATACGGAACATGGCTATCACGGAACCTACAATGCTAAGATAGTCGTTTATGGTAATTATTACATTTGTCAGTATAAAAACCAACTTTTCAGCTTCATCTGCTAAAAAACGTCAAAGCCTTTGATGTTTTTCTTGTTTTCTTTTTTTGTTGCCGCAGTGATTGACAACTCCCTGAGTGTTTCATCTAGTGATCCCACCTCGCTGAGCTATGACGAAGGAGATGCTCTCACTTTGACGTGTCAAGCTTCCAGCAACACCATCCAGCACACCCATTTGTCTGTCGCCTGGTATCTGCGTAAAGATGGCGAGGACGCTGCTCGACCCATCATTTCGTTGGACAGGTTTTTCACTCTGATTCCAGGCCCGGGGTTTGAACAGCGCTACGTAGAAGGAGCTGTTCGTTTAGATAAATTAGGAGAGGCCACTTATATTCTAAAAATGGCCCAGCTTGAGCTTTCAGATCAAGGGCAGATCTTCTGTGGGGCTGAGGAGTGGATCCAAGATCCAGATCGTTCTTGGTACATGATGACCAGAAAGGATGCAAAGGAATCTACTCTAACAGTCAAAGCTAGAGGTTAGGAGCATTCGCTGCCTTCATCAAGTCTTGCTATATCAAAGACATTTTCTGCTGTACCCTTGTGGCTTCCTAATGTTCTTCTCTTGTTTTCTACTATTTAGAAGTGTCAGAAACCTCAAGCCTGGTGGTGAAAATGACCTCAAAGCAGACAACTTTGCAAGAGGGGGAGGAGCTGCTACTATCCTCCAGTATTGACTCACAGAACCTGGAGGGAAAGTTCTTTTCTGTAGCGTGGCTCTGGAATGGCATTGAGCTGGTCCGAATTGGTCCTACTGGCATTGTTTCTGTGACGCCTGAGTACAGCGAAAGGGGGAGACAAGGGGAACTGAGAGCCACACGGACTGGGAACAGAAATTACCAGTTCGTAATGAAACCAGTCAAGACCATGGACGAGGGACAGTACGTCTTTAGAGCATGGACAGAAGAGAGAGGGGATGATGGTGCTTTTAAACAAGGAACAGCCCAGGACTCTGACCCATTGTCAGTCAAAATTTCATCTACAGGTTTGTTGAAGTGATCCTATCCTTGTTTAGACGCTTGTGCACATTGGATATTAAACATATTTCTATTTCTATCTTACCTCCTGACAGAAAGTGAGCTCTCAGTAAGAATGCAGGATGTCCCGCCAACAATCACCCAAAGGGATAGGTTGAGGCTCGTTTGTAATGTGGGTGGGTTCAAAGGTCAGCTCTCTGTCACCTGGAAACGCAAACTCACAGCCAAACAAATTGCCCTGTTCAACATCATTGTCAGTCTAAGTCAGGGCGGCGTTATGGAGACGGCAGCAGATTTCACAAGCCGTAACGTGAGAGTGATGCGTCCAACAGATGACAGCTTTGTCTTAGAGCTCGATGACGTCATTCCCTCTGATTCAGGGGTTTACCGGTGTACCGTGACTGAATGGGAACCCAGCGGAAAGTCTCACAGCCGGGAGCAATCTGCCAACGTGACTGTAATTCCTATTGGTAAGACTCCCAACATATTGTTCATTTTACAGGGCGCTTAAAACGTATCCCACATCCCATTTCCATCCAAAAGGACTTGCAGACTTTTCTGAATAGCCTAGTTTGTTTTCCAGATTCGTTGGTGAAAGTTTCTCTGAGAAGTCGCACCAACATTGTGACAGTTGGAGATAACGTGGAGCTGATGTGCCAGGTCAAAGGGCCAAGCGTCCTAAAGCATCTGATTTGGACCAAGCAAAACAACAACTCCACTCTGAATAACATTGTGACGCTGTCTTCAGACGGTTCCGTCAGCTGGTCTGGAGACCAGCACCATTACCAGGTCAAAGTAGACAACCAAAACAACGCAGTCATGTACTATTTGAAAATAGTTGGTGCGAGTCGCAGGGAGGCGGGGATCTATCAGTGTATGGTATCTGTGTTTCTGGAGAACGCTTTCAAGAAGCTTCCGGAATCCAACCATCTGAGAGTGATGGTGCAGAACCCAGGTATTTAACGTACTTTTATATGTTAGATTTTAGAAACCCTACATCTCAGTTTTCTTTATCTTTATCTAATTATGTTTTTATTCTCCTAGTGAGCACACTAGCTCTATCTTCCGAACCCAGCATCTCACAAATTATCAACTCTGACGTCCATATTAACTGTAGAGTCACCTCCAAACCATCCCAGTCCTCTCAGTATGCCGTCACCTGGCTGCACCAACACGACGCTGCTAATAAGACCATTCTGAGTTCTGATCGAAAGGCTGTTGAAACATTGGGTTCACAAACAGAGCAAAGCTTCAGGCAGCGGGTCATCATGAAGCGCACAAATGGGCCGACGTTTGAGCTGACTATTCGGCAAGCTAGAATCTCAGACAGAGGCTCGTATTTTTGTGAAGTGGTGGAGTGGCTCCAAGACCCACGTGGAGATTGGTATCCACTCCCAGGAAAGTCTGTGATCACGAAGTTGACCGTTATTGAGCCCGGTAAGATTGATGTATCACTTTATTTTTGACGTGAATGAAATCTCACATCATGCCACTAAAAGAATCATCTAACTGTTGGTAATAATTTACTTTTCTCCTTTTATGTCTCTTATTTCTCAGCCAATGATCTTACTGTAGAAAGGAACGAGCAACAGCTGACTATCAGCGAGGGAAATGAAGTAGAGCTTGAATGTATCATGACTTCTGGTGCACCTGCATTTTTTTATAAAGTCATTTGGTTCTACGCTCCTCCCAGCTTTTTGAGCATGAATGCTTCTCTGGTGGAGCTTGATCAAACTGGACTGCTGGTTTATCCGGAAAACCAGGCGCTCCAAAGCCTTCAGGGGCGACTCCGTCTCTCCAGACCCAGTCAGAAGAACTTTTACCTCAAGATTCAGACGGCTCATGAAACAGACAGTGGGACCTATTGGTGCCAGGTGGAGCAATACCAGCTGGACAATGAGGGCCAGTGGAAACAAAAGGCCTCAGAAAGCTCAGGCCCCGTCACGTTAGCCGTAAATGTTGCAGGTATGTTGCATGTTCTTACAGCAGTCTCAGTTGGGCCACTCTTCTCCTTTTTTGCATTTCTGGCTCGTAAAAACCAAGATTTCAAAACTAAAGCTTTACAATTGTAGTCTACAAACCAGTGAATGTTGTCACAATGATCTCAGCGCTTGAGTCAAAGTCACACCTGCTAAAGCATGATTCATTGACTTATTTTCCTACCGTCCCGCCTACCTGTCAGTGTTTGCTGGGACACATGCTTGTGCTTGTATAGGGGAGGACTTTGTTGTTGGGAAATACTGAGATGAAATCACACAGCAAAGGCAAAATGTTCAGAGAAAGACACAATTTCTGGCATTCTCAATGTTTGTTTATGTGATTTTAGATCTTTTAGATCCAAAGTATAACTTAAAGCAGCTCGTGTTTTTAAAGGTGATGATTCTTTTTTACATTGAGTTTATGTAGAATGAATATTTGCAATGTTGGCCTTTGAGTTTTAAGACCTCTTGCCTTTGGCATGGAGTAATCAACCACTGGACCAGATCCTGACTAATAGCAGCCCATTGTTTCATAATCAGTAAGGTTGTCAGAATTTGTGGAGTTTTGTCTTTCCACTCACCTCTCAAGGATTTGCCTCAAGTTAATGCTGGTATTAAGGTCCAGGGAGTTTCTTGGCCATGGAATCACAATTTCATCAGCATGCTTGTCAAGCTGCTGTAACTTGTTAGCACAATGCTCCTTCATGCTGGAAAAGGCATGGCCCATCATCAAACTATTCTTGGATGAGTGGGAGGAGTTCCTCTAGGTGGATGTTTAGGTACCATTATTTATTCATGTGTTCTGAGGCTAAGCAGTGGCTGGGTCTACTCCACTAGCTGAGAAGCAGCCCTAAATATGAATGCTCTTAGGATATCAGCATCACACTGAACCGATGGTGGTTCAAGAGTCCACAAACATTTACAAACCGGACTAAACAGAGGAAATGATTTTCCCATTCTTCTCAGCAGTCCAATTCCTGGACTTATAGAAGAATAACAGTTTGTCCCTGATGTTTTAATGAGGGGAGGTGGCTTCTTTGCTGCCCTACTTGACACCAATCCTCTAAGTTATCTCTTCCTGGCTGCAGATGCACTCACATCTGCCTGCTGTCGTTTATTAGCCAGCTCTGAACTGGTGGATCCTGCAGCTGGATCCACATCCTGATTATGCTGGAATCTCTTAGACACCATAAGACAGTTTCACTAATGCATTGGAAAAGGCAAAGAGGGACATTGGAATTAACTGTAGTCTGTTGGATGAATTGTCAGGACATTTTGAGTTTCTGCAAAATATTTAGCCATCCCCAAAACCGTTTGCCATTTTTATATTTTATATAGAAATGTAAAAAGTTTTATTCATCTCATTAATTTACAGAAAGCACATAAGCATAATTTCAACTATCGTGATTACTTGCTGGCTTTTGCTGTGCAGCAACAGTTGTTTCTCAGAAACGTGACCACCTCTGCACTTACCCCGCAGCACTGAAAATATCTAACTTTGTGCCCCGGTTTTGACGTAGGCCAGCACTTTATGTTCTTCATCGCTGCTTCCTTTAGCGTTGTTACCTTTTCATTTCTTCACTTTTTCACAGATTCAAAACTGTCCATTGAAAAGACAGAAGATAAGATGAACATAAGTGCAGCTGAGGACATGACCATTCCTTGTAACATCGCCCAACATACCAGCAGTGAATCCCAGTTCCAGGTGACATGGTTTTGGCAAAAAGATGCAGAAACGGAACAACGGCCCATTTTCACCGCCTACCGAAACTCCACTTTTAAGGGCGGTCATGAGAACGTAAGGTTTAGTCACCCCCTGCCTCACCAGTTCACCCTGACTATTCTAAACACTGGTCCTAAAGACAGTGGCCTGTATTTCTGTGAGGTAGAGGAGTGGCTTCATTCTCTGACTCAGGGTTGGAGGAGGGCTGTGGTGAAAAAGTCAGGAAACCTAAATGTCACTGTTCTCTCGGAAGGTAAGCACCCTTTATCACTAAACGCCTCTTCTCTTCAAATGTTATCTAATTTTCTGAAATCAGTGATGCTGAATATGTTTTTCTTGTGTGTTTTGCAGGAAGAGTTAAATCTCTCCCTGAATCAGATTGCATGTCTGGGACCTTGATAGTGACGCTTGTAGTTGTCACTATAATCTTGCTGTTCATCATCTTGACTCTTGTTCTGGTGATGTGCAGAAACAAGGCCTCAAATAAGGCTGCCCCTTCTCTCTGGACTGAGCAGCACCCTCTGAGCGACAAAACGGCAGAGATCTAAACCACAAAAGTAAACTGAGTGGTGTACAGATGAAGGTTCTCAGTCATCCTGGGTATGGCGGACGCAGCAGGGTCAAACTAGGTCAACTGAACTGCCTCAGTTGAGCAGAGGTGTGATTCTCAGAGGCTGAAAGGAGCAAAGTTCATAAATTGCACTGATTTTTAAATTATTAAAAAACAAATAACTATGTTTTAGAACGTAAAGATTGCACTAAACAAATTTTTTGTCTAGACGGTTCTTTTTAAGGTAAATGTTTAAATCAATCTATAAAAAACTTTGATTTTTTTAAAATATATTTTTATTTGTGCAGCCTAAACAGCACACATTGATTTGCATAATTCCCTGTAAGAGGTTCGTCAACTTCGTGTCTTTTTAAATCCAGTTTTCAAAACAGATTTTAGCTGCACTGTACAGGACAAGTCAATATTCTTATTTGGATGGACAATATGGAAGTTTAACATGTTTATTTAAGCAAACTGAATTTGCGTGCAAAAGCACAAAGAGGAAGCAACGTGTGGTTTCTGCCGTCTGCTCTGCAAATGTGCAAAGCTGCCTAAAGTCATCACAAGGCACCCATGCAGTATTAATGAAAATCTGTCAATGTGAAACATTTGTTTTTCTAGTTTTGTAACTATGATGTTAAATGATGATGAATGTTGAGTCTTTTTTTATTGATGAAACTTGAATGACACTTTTATGTAACCAAGAAATTAGAAAAAGAGGCTTGTTGCAACATTTGAAGGTTGAAATTAAAACATTTCTTTAAAGCCACTATTTAATGGGTCAGATCAATGTAAAAATACTCAAATAGCCATTATCTATTAAGAAACTGGTCTTCCCAAGTTTTGCCAAGCCACTATCTTTTTTTAGTCAGGTGCAGACACCATGAAAAGTGGATAGCCGCCTGTATTCTCACAGATGCTGTTTTATCTGCTTACAAATAAATGCAGGTGAGATATTTAATCTCTGTTGAGTTTCTATGAATGTTGGATAAACAAGTCAGAGCTAAGAACAAAATAAGCTCCTTCCTTCCAACATCAGCCCCAGTCATCACTAAACATCATGTTTGTGTGAAAAAACTGTAAATGAGTAAAAAAATTAGCTGATTCTTATGCAGAAAACGTGCAGGACACCAAATTAGTACAAGAAAAAAGGAGTGAATTGACTCTGACTGCGTGAAACTTGTGGTAAAACCCACAACATCTTTCCTGTTTTCTCTGAGAAATGAGAGACTAAAACTGTGCTGAGAAACTTCATGGCGGCTGTCGTCTTCTCAGCCTCAAAAAGCGGATGTTTGGTTGTTGAATTAGATGAGTCCTTCACATCCTGGTAGATTGAATCCCTCTTAATGTTCCTGTAATTCCACTTCCTCGTGTTTCCATGGTACTTTATGTTGCAGTAAACAAACACAGGTTGAATTTGGAAGGCAAATCAATCTTGGTGGTTTGGCAGCAAAAATACAACATGATGCAGCAGAGGTAAACTAGTCTAAATACGGTTTAAACATGATAGTTTAGTTCTTCTGAAATGGAGTTTTGTTAAATGTCATAAACAATTCATGTCTTTTAACAACCTCAGTTTGGAGAAACATATTAGGTGTAAAATGACTGATGTGCTAACGGCTAGGCCAAGAAGCGCCAATACCCTTGTTCTAAAATACGTCAGCATAGGTCTGTGGAAAATACTAGTAAACATTTAGGTTGGTGGGCAGTGAAGCAATACACAATTATTTGCAAAGGAGTCCGTAGGTTTTGCCAGTAGAAATAGCCACACTAGCAGCTAGTGCTAACATTTGATGCATTTTTCTGTAGGAATTTGCTAAGACATCGGCATATAATGAAATAACATGGCAACATATATAAAAATAAAAGGTTATGTGAAGGTTTATGAAATGAATGCATGCATTTTTTGAAAAATCAGATGTTATTTTAAGACGCTTCATCTTTGACAAGTCGTTAGCTTACCAATCCAGTCCGACTGACAGTGTATTTGTTTAAAATGTGGCTGTTAAAAGAGTTAGTAACAGCGTGTTAATCAATCATAACCTTTGCACAAAACACTTATTCATATAGCTGGGTGGGTTGGAATGAACTTAGCCTGGATATGATCCTCAGAAATGAAAAGAAACCCCCAAACAAAGTTTCTAATTGTTATGATATTCGGAAAGAAGAAAATTTTGAACTTACTTCCGTAGACAGCATTGCATTTAAAGAGTTGCCAGCAGTTGTGTCCATCTGCATTTTCATTGGCCTTGACTGCCTTAACTGGTTGCACATGTGAGGCCAAACAAAAGGCCTGTTTGGTGAGAAGTCAGAGGCAGCACCACTCGGGCTGCTGGTTTGGTGAGGTTTTAACAAAGCTGTTTAATTAAAATACTCTCAAAGCACCAACTAGTTTGCTCAGTCTCCGTTTCATGTTTTAGCCCAACGAGCCGGGATGTAACACAGCGAGCAGAAGGGTTTATCAGGGAATGTCTACATTCCACAACCCTTGGGTGTTTGTCCACATGTTGCTCGATGCTGTAAGCTGGTTATCTCCGTTGCTGTCATCCCAGTCCAGATCTGATTGGAAACAAAGCTTCTTGCACTCCCCCCTTTTCTACAAACCGAATTCTATTTTCACCTTGGCTGAACGCTTGTGTCATCATGGGAAAACGCCTTAATGGAAGCACCGTTTGTTTACACACACAGTCAGATGGGAGGTGTTCATATTTGTTTATACAACACATGCTTCATGTATCATCTTTCATGCAGGTTTTACAAGACTCTACAAGCGCAAAGCACTGCAATAGAGCACACAAGGGGATTGGATTGTTCTAGAAAATATACAGTTTCTAAGGTTTTGCATGTGGGATTAAATTAAGAGCCACAAACAGTGAAATGAAGCTAAACATTCCATTCAGGTTTGTCAGCCGTTTACCTGGTTTATGAACACGCCCAACTGGCTTCATTCCAGCATTATTCTTTCTATTATTTTATTTACCTTTGGTGTTACCCAGACTTGCCTCAAGCGCCACCATGTGGATATTTTTGTTCATGTATTAATAATCTGACATAAATACGCTGCAGTAATTTGTAATAACAAATGATGGATGCCAGTGAATTTACTCATGATTGTTTGTGCTGCAGAAAGGTGGGTGACAGTGGTTTTGACAGAGGGCAACTTAATTCAAAATGGCCATTATAGCTGATCATCATTAGCTATGCAAAAACGGTTAAATTCTGTCAAGTGTTGAACGTGCCCAAGCCCATACTTATGAGAGCACCATGTGAGCACCTGTGTGTGTACACGCGCTTGTTTATGTAAGGTTTCTCTATAGGAGCGTCCAATAGAGAGTGTGAGGGACCACAGATCTGCCCCCAAAGATGCGTAGGAGACGGGGGGAGCTCCAAGTCCCAGAGATCCAGGCGCTGCCCCAGAACACAGGAACCCCAAGGGGACTGCAACCAGAAAGGGCCCCCGCCCCCCTCGAGAGGCGCAGAGGATCGCCCCGGGGGGCCACAACCAGCAGCCGGCAGAGCCCCAGGAGATATCAGCGGCAAGCCCCTCAGGCCCGCCCGCTGCCCCCACCCCCTAGCCGGCCGAGCCCGGGACCCAGCGACCCGGGACCCAGGGGCGACCACCCCCGCCGAGGACCCAGCAGAGCCCAGGGACCCAGACCCCACCAGGCAGCCACCGGGAATGACCAGGCAAATCGAGTCGACTTCGACTAGTCGTTGATGACGTCATACACCTGAAGCGGCGGGGGTGGGGGTGTGTCGGTAGGTTCGCTGGAATTTTTGACAATTAAAATTGCGCCCACATTTTCTAAGTTAACACATCTCTTTTAACAATGGTAGTTTCTGCATCTTGCTTCCGCCGCAGACTCACTGATGCGTCTGCAGCCTGTCAGAGTTCCTGCTGCTCTAAACATTAAAATAATTATTTCATTTTCTGTTCCTCACTTCTGATTACCTTCAATGGTGTTTGTTTGTTGCAACCACCAGGTACAAAAACTAACTTGTTTTTATTTGACTATTTTTCTGTCCTGTCTGTTTATTATCTTCCTGCATCTCCTCTCAATCCTAAAGAAAAACTGCTACCTGGGTTCATATATATTCACCTCATGAGTTACCTTTGAACTGCAGTTCTAAAAGATCTACTGACCACAAAAACAGCGGAGTGCCGCTGCTCGCCGGCCGACTACAACGGGACCGTTTTTGCTGCAGAGTTCGTGCCGGAGCGGAGCGGAGATAGTGGAATTTTGGGGGTGCGTCACCAGAGAACAAAACAGGTGATGTGCCTCGCTCCGCAGCAGCGAAACGCATCAGGCACAAATAACAGACAGAAAACATTAAAGGAAATGAGCCGACATGAACGATCGCGTGTTTAATTTGTTTTTGAGGTGGTGACACCTGATTTGGCGGTGCTCAGGACGCAGATGTCTGGAGCGCGTCAACGATCAGAGCTTTGTATGCGCAAACTGGTTAAGATTAGGATGGGGGTGAGGGGAAGGTAAAATTGCAAGAGGGAAAAGGTCACAGTTTGGTTAAATGTCCATTTTACCGCCGGTGTCAGTAGCGACGCTCTGGCACAGCGCGTCGCCTCCGCCTCCCGATGCAGGGGCTCATCACCTGTTGTCTTTTCCGAGGACTGCATCTTGTCAATCATTATCATGTGACAGCGACTAGTCGGTGACGGGCATAAAAAGTCACTACAGAGCCGTGAAGTCGACTAGTCGACTAGTTCATACAACCCCTACCAGGTAGTGGTCAGTTGACAGCTCCGCCCCTCTCTTCACCCGAGTGTCCAAGACATGCGGCCGCAGGTCAAGTGAAACAACAAAGTCGAAAATCGAGCTGCGGCCTAAGGTATCCTGGTGCCAAGAGCACATATGGACATCTTTATGTCTGGACATGGTGTTCATTATGGACAATCCATGATTGGCACAGAAGTCCAATAACAAAACACCACTCAAATTCAGACTGGGGGTGCCGTTCCTCCAAACCACACCTCTCCAGGTCTCACCGTCATTGCCCACGTGAGCGTTAAAGTCCCCCAGCAGAACGAGGGAGTCACTGGAAGGAGTGCTTTCCAGCACCCCCTCCAAGGTCTCCAAAAAGGGTGGGTAGTCTGAACTGTAGTTTGGTGCATAAGCACAGACCACAGTCAGAACCCGTCCCCCCACACATAGGCAGAGGGAGGCTACCCTCTCATTCACTGGGGTAAACCCCAACGTACAGGCACAAGATGAGGGCAACAAGTATGCCCACCCCTGCTCGGCGCCTCTCAGTGGGAGCAACTCCAGAGTGGTAGAAAGTCCAGCCCCTCTCAAGGAAACTGGTTCCAGAGCCAGAGCCATGTGTTGAGGTGAGTCCGACTATATCTAGTCAGAACCTCTCAACCTCACACACCAACTCAGGCTCCTGCCCCTCCAGAGAGGTGACATTCCCTGTGCCAAGAGCCAGCTTCTGTAGCTGAGGATCAGACCGCCAAGGTCCCCGCCCTCGACTACCACCCGTCACACACTGCACCCGACCCCTTTGGCCCCTCCCACGAGTGGTGAGCCCATGGGAAGGGGGACCCACGTTTCCTCTTCGGGCTGTGCTCCATGGGTGAAAGCCCAGCCACCAGGCGCTTGCCAACGTGCCCCACCTCCAGGCCTGGCTCCAGAGGGGGGCCCCAGTGACCCACATCTGGGCGAGGGAACACAGTTTCCATTTATATAATTCATCATAAGAAGTCTTCGGGCTGCTCTTTGTCTGATCCCTCACTTAGGACCTATTTGCCATGGGTGACCCTACCAGAGGTAGAAAGCCTCAGACAACTTAGCTCCTAGGATCATTGAGACACTCAAACCCCTCCACCACGTAAGGTGGCAGCCTAGGGAGAGGTGACCCGATCAGAGCGACTCAGCTTTTTGCACCTTTTTCTATTAAAGTGGCAGAGCCCTGAAACAGCTCATTCTGGAAGGTATTGAAAATGTCAAGAATAAAACTGCTGACGTTGCTTTTGTTGTGGGAGGAATTTAGTGCAAAGCACTTCATACACATATTTTCATAGAAAAAAGAACTATTTTAACTTAGGGCAAAACGTCATATTACGACCCAATCCCAATACTCGTACTGCACTCTACAGTCTTCTGTGAAGTGTACTTGGAAGAAGTTAGCAGTGAAGCTTCGAGTGTGTGGTACACAAATGTGCAAATAATTGCCGATTTGAGGCAGGGAGCATTGCATCATCAACCACAATGCATGCCAAGATGCTGGTCATCGTGCTACTTTCAAACAAATAACCAAAAACATATTTTAAATAAATGTACATTAATTGCTGCTTTGTCTAAAACATGCAGAGCATAAAATGAGCTACTTTCATTTGAAAATATTCAGAAAAGGCACTAAAGCTTTTTCTCCTGCAGCAATGGTTTGTGGGTAATACCCTTCACCCAAGACTGCATCGATGTGAACTTGGGTGAAGTGCGGATCAAGGGTGCAAAAGGGTGCGGATCAACTTCCGCACTTGAGAATCGAGACACCTTACACAGTCGCACCCCTGGCCGGCAGGGGCGCCTCCAGAAAGTTTTGATAGGGGTGGCCAGACGGGGGCAAAGTAATTTTTGGGGTGGCACGCCGAATTGGTCCTTATGGGGATGTATTGCATTGCTCCTTTATTCGTTTATATGTATATATAAAAAAAACAGTATGCATCCAAAACATTTAACTTTAATTTTACAAACACAAACATTTCAGAAAAATGCATTTCCGTTATTTAAAATGTTATTGAAATATTTATTTTAAAATGAATTTTTTTTTTATTTTAATTCACATGTTGCTGTGTTTACAAAAAGCTATGGAGATATTTTTTAAATGGTGAGCAGCAGAAACATGTGTATTTTTTCTGATTATTTATTTGCTCATTAATTGTATTATTTTTATTTAGTTTTACAATTACGTATGTCTTGAATAAATAAGATTGATTTATAGTTTGAGTGAACATTAATATGATTTATTAACACTGGCTTTTGCTGAGGGGGCCAGCAATTTTCTAGGGGTGGCTATGGTGACCCCTAGCCACCTCTTGGGGGTGCCATTACTGGCCAGGATCACACTATTTAAGGGCACAAGCGTGGAAGTTCAGTATTGGGATTGGATGTTGTCTTTAAAATTTGACAATGGTGATTAAGTGTGTGGCCAAACGTGGCTGCTGAGCAGATGTGTTTTGTTCAAGGCATTCTTCTATTTTTTTTCTAAAGATGCCATCTCTGTTTTTGGAAAAAGAACATGCTTCAGCAAGCTACACTTAAAGAAATAATAATCCAAATGTTTGACCCCTTTCTCTTCCTAGAGTCACAAACTCTGATGGCTGCAGAACATGGTACAACACCGACTTGTAACACACACAAGCAGACATG